TTCCAGCCAATCATGTGCCTCCACGTGGATCTCAGGGATGGGCAGACAAGGCATCTTCGCTTCCACCAATGAGCCTGTGCCACGTGGACAAGAAGGTGCCCCTGCTCCAGGCAGTTGGGGCTGCCCAAAACTGAGAGTTTCATCCCCGGGCAGCACATCAAGAGCCAAAGCCTTGTCCATGGGAAACTTTTTTCTCAGGGCAGCCATAAGGGCATCATTGCAAACTGCCTGCAGATCTGCCCCTGCAAACCCCTCGCTCCTCCTCGCCAGCTCCTCCAGAACCTTCCCAGAAGGTGCCACCCCCGACCCCCACCCCCCCGTTATCGCCCTCAAAATCGCCTTCCGGCCTGCAAATCCGGGCAGCGGAAAGAAAATCTCGCGGTCAAACCTGCCTGGGCGGCGCAGGGCAGGATCAATCGCATCGATCCGATTGGTCGCAGCAATGACGGTAACCGCACCCCTCGAATCCAACCCATCTAGAAGCGCCAGAAGCGTAGCGACCACAGAGCTATGTGTCGGGTCCTGATTGGGCCCTCTAGCCGGCGCCAGCCCATCCAGCTCATCAAAGAAGATAATCGACGGCTGGCGTTGCTTCGCCACTTCGAACAGCAGCCGTAGATGCTTCTCCGCGTCCCCCACGTACTTCCCAAGGCAATCCGCCCCGTGCCGCGCGAAAAACGCCACCTCCCTCTCCCCCCTCGCGCACGCCCCTGCCAACGCGCGCACCACCAGAGTCTTTCCAGTCCCGGGCAGCCCGTGCAAGAGCACGCCGCGGGGGGGTGTGATGGCGAGGGAGGGGAAGAGGGAGGGGTAGCGCAGGGGGAGGAGGACGAGCTCTGTGAGGGAGCGGATGACTGGGCGCAGGCCTCCTATGGCGGACCAGGGGGGGAAGGGGGAGGCGTGGGGGAGCAGAGAGGGGGTGCTAGGCGGGTGGGTGGATGGGGCGGATGGAGGGGCGGGTGGTGGTGCTTCTGTTGGTGATACCTTGGCTGCATCAGGTGATGATACTGCCGGGGCTTCTTCTCCCTCTGCTGCATCTCTCACCCGCTCCCCTGTCCCTGTCCCTGTCCCCGCTGCTGTTCCTCCTGTTGTCCCTTCTGCTCCTGCTGCTCCTTCTGCTCCTTCCGCTCTTGTTGCTGCTCCCGCTGTCCCTTCTGCTCCTGCTCCGGTTGCTGCTGCTCTCACACCAGCACCATCCCCCCCAGCCTCCACTCCCTCTGGGGCGTCCCTTTTCCTTCCAACCAGCACCTCAGGCTCTGGTGTAACCCTTGCCTGTTTTTGACAACTCTCAAATGCAGATCCTATTGCTGCTCCTGGAGTGTCCCTAGCCCCTCCAACCAGCACCTCTGAACCCGGTGTATTCCTCGCACGCTTTGCTGCCACCTCCCCCTTTTGAATCGACTCAAAAGCAGCCCCTTCAACCAGCACCTCTGAATCCGCTGCAGCCCTTGCCCGCTTTGCTGCCATCTCCCCCTCCCCATCACCCTCAATCCCCCGACCTGTTGCCCCGCCCACCTCCTCCCTCGCTCCCTCCCTCACTCCCTCATTCACTCCCTCCCACACCCCTGAATTCACCCGCATGCTGCTCGCGCCACCTATTGCTACCTCCTCCACAGTCCCCAACCCCAGGCGTGCTTGGGCACTCAAGCCCTGTAGTAGCTCCGTTGCTCCATGTCTTCCCTCTCGCCCTTCATCCCTTCCCTCTCTTCCTCTCTTCCTCCCCTCCTCCGCTGCTTTCCTTCCTCGACCCAGCACCTCATCCCCCTCCCGCATTTCCCCCTCCCCTCGACCAACCTCCCCACCCCCCCTTGCCCCCAACAGCACCTCCAGCGGAGTCTCAGGGCCAATCACAGCCGCCAATTCCTCCCCCGCTTCCCCCACCCCTCCCCCCAACCCCCCTGCTTCCGCCCCCCCAAACCGCACCATCACCCAACCAGACGCCGCCACGTCAGCACCACCACCATCGACCCCAATGCCAGGCCTTGCCATTGGATTTAACATGCTGTGCCCTGCTCTCTGTGACTGCTCCCCCAGTGCCATCCTCTCACACTCGACATTGTCACACTCTGCTTTGTCACAGTCAACGTTTTCCCAGACACTGCCAGTTTGGATTGGCACTCTAGCGCCCCTTCCTTCCTTCTTCCCCACTTGTTCTTCTCTCCCTGCTCCCCCTCCGTCCCCCCTCCGCCCTCCCCCTCCGCCCCCTCTTCCCTCTCCCCCAGGTTCAACCCCAGCCGGCCTCTCAAGCCCAGTCACCTGATAACGAGCACCACCTGCTGACGTGGCCAGTGACGTGGCAGCACCGCTGGCAGCCGCACGCCACGTCACCCCACCCCCAAGCCGAACCGGTTCAACCCTAGCCAGGTCCCTCACTCGCCTCCTCCTCTCCTTTGCCTGAAACTCCTCATCCTCATCATCCTCCTCACTCCCCATCCCCTCCTCCCACTGCGCCTCTGCCTCCTCATCCTTCCGGGCAGCTGCACGGGCAGCCGACAAAAGTTCCACCATCTGCCCGGACAGCCTGCCCGCGGGCTGCCCGAAAAAGGCGTTGAACTCGGGCAGGTGGGAGCCGTGGCGGTGGAGCATGAGGGAGCGCGTGTGGAGCGGGCAGGAGATGAGGAAATCGGTGTGGTCGAAAAAACAGTCGTCGTAGCGCGCACAGGGCTGGGGGGGGAAGAGGGGGGGGGAGGGGAGAGAGGAGTCAGAAGGTGGGGAACGTATGGATGGGTGGGGAGGAGCAGGAGATGGGGAAATTGTTGTGGTTGAAAAAGCAGTCGTTGTAATGCGCACAGGGCTGTGGGGAAAGGAGGTGGGGGAGGAGGGGGGGGGGGAGAAAGGGGATGTGTGCGGAGAGTGAAGGGGTTGAGGCGGAGCAGAATAAGAGAACTCTTTGTGGTTGAAAGAACAGTCGTCGAAGCGCGCACAGGGCTGGGGGAAAGTTTCATCTCACCAGGTGGTACGTGTGTGGGCATCGCTCCTCACGGCACCCAATGTTGGCACCGCTGTGACCACACCGGCTGCACTTGAGTAGCCTCCCCCTCCGATACTATTTCCCATCTCCCCACCCTCCTATCTCACCAGGTGGTACGTGTGTGGGCACCGCTCCTCGCGGCACCCAATGTTGGCCCCGCTGCGCCCACACCGGCTGCACTTGAGCAGCCTCCCCCTCCGCACCGCAGCAGGCACGTTCTTCAGTTGATTCGCCGCACAGAAGAACACCTGCGGAGAGGGGGAGGGTCATGCAGTGTAAAAGTATTTGAATCGACTCAACAGTGCCACCCCCCACCTGAGGAGCGGGGAGAGGGGGAGAGGAGGGGGGGAGGACGGGGGAAGGAAGGGGGGAGGAGGGGGGGAGGAGGGGGGAGGAGGGGGGTAGTAGTGGCGCCGTGTGGTAACGGACGGGACGTGACTTGGCAGCGTGGCAGCAGCATGATGTCATTGTCGACGTCATCCTTGTCATTATCAGCAGCAGCAGCAGCATGAGCTGGTAGCAGCAGCGCACCTCGGGGCTCCAGATGGCGCACTCGCGGTGCACCCACGCGCCAGCAGCGCCGCTCCGCTCCGCCACGGGCCCCAGCAGCGGGCCCAGCCACCCGCGCACGTCCGCGAAGTGCGGATCCGGCCGCATTGGCGGCCACCGCATCTCGCGCAACTCCCCCTCCGCTGCGTGGTCCCCCCCCGCTCCCTTAGCTGCTCTCTTTCCGCCGCTTCCTCCGCCATCCTCCTGCTCGCTCCGCCCTTCCGCGCGTCCGCGGTCTCCGCCGCTCCGCGCTTTTCCAGAAAGCGGAACCCGGAAAGCTCCCGCTGCGCTCGATGACTCTCTTGGGCGGGAAGATCTGTCGTGATACGTGATTCGTCGGACTACGTCTGGAGGCGGCTCGCCGTGCCTGTTACCGCCGCACAGGCAGCAAACGGGGCCGTCTGCCGATGCGGATGACTTGAACGGCATGACGTTCCGCTTCAACCGGATGCTATGTTACCGTTGGAAACATGTTTCGCAATGGAAAGTGAATGGCTGTTTTCGAATAGTGTCATGAGCGGGAAGCGGGAGCGCAAGAATAGGGGATGTGAATTATGTGATGCGAGGAGAGGAGGGAAATAGCTCTCTCACAGGCTTCGATGGGAACGCGTTGATTGCGTTTTACGAACTTGGATGTTGAGCAAGAGTTACTATTGTGTAACCCGTTACCCGTCGCTAACGAAAAGCACACTCTCGCTGGGTACAGCAGAAAATGGGTCGATTGTGTACCCAGCCGCCCATCCGTGCCAAAATTTCATTCCTGGTGCCTGATTGGTCAGACAGATGGCAGATGATGGGAATGCGGAGATGACCATGGCGTGGGGAACCGAGATCGGAAGGATGGGATGGGGGTCATGGATGTCGGATGGCGGGAGAACTATGGGCAGAACGACGATGAACTCTCTACCGAGTTACCAGCAACTGCGTGATTTCGTGACAACCTCGACAATGGTGCATGAACGAGGCCGAATAGTGGCGAGCGACCGACGAAACTCGTCAGTGCACACACGACCGTGCACGAATTTCAAGAGCCATGTGTCCCCAAGAATCCCCCACTTCTAGATTGTGCCGAACCGAACCTCGGCCACATGTGGGCAAACCGAGCCAGGCGTAACGAGCGCCAAGCCTACCGCCCCCAACCTCCTCCCTCGCTTTTGTCTGACCCTGACAAAAGCACCACCTCCCTCCTGCTTTCTCTTCTACTTGCCTCGGTTTTCTCCTTGAATCCCCCTGGTCCACCTAATAGCCAGTCACAGTTGCTGACCACCAATCGCCTCGCTGAAACCCTTGTGTTGAGTCTTCTCGAGTAATGGTCACCTTGTGAAACCTAATCTTCGTTTGTGGTCGCTTTGTGAGACCTAAGCTTCGTCTTTCACCCGTTTCGGCTGAGCCTGTTCTTTTATTCAATAAGAGCAAGCCTGCGTTAGTCCGGTTCTTAAGAGAACCCAATTTTGTAGAAGTTATTATTCTAGATTTCACCATGGATTTCTCAGATGACACGGATTACACGTGTCCGTTGTGCATGGAGGAAATGGACTCCACAGACAGGAAGTTTCAGCCGTGCCAGTGCGGCTATCAGGTGCTTTCCGCTCTCCTACGCCCGCCCGTAATATCCCGTTCTAAAATTATGGATGAGATTCCCACATCCAGCCTTGTTTAGCTCCTTCTTGAAACAGCTTAAGAACTTACGTTGAGAGCGTTTGACCTAATTGGAGTCAAAGTCCTGGTCTAAATTCGAAATTCAGTTGTTTAGGACGTCCTTACTATGGTCAACGCGTTTGACCTGTGCTGTCTCATCCGTTGCTTGTCTATGGTAACTCGTGGTGACTGGCAGATTTGCCTGTGGTGCTGGCATCACATCATGGAGATGGCGAATAAGGACCATCTAGAACCTCGCTGTCCAGCCTGCCGTTCTCCCTACAGCAAAGACAAGATCGCATCCAACGGTCCCGATCTCGACGAGTAAGTCACGAAGTCCTCCTTAACGCGGAATCGTCATCATCCGGCAAGGTTTCTCTTGCTTTAAGTTTTTTTCGTAATAAACTTAAATATCGTCGCATCGTCATCATCCGCTATGGTTTTGTGTCAGGAGCTAAGAAAACCTAGCAACGACGCTTTTCATGTGCCGCTTGTGTCTGGCCTTGCAGTTTTACCGAGTCGGAGAAGCGATCCAAGTCCAAGTCCCGTCCAAAGAGCGCGTACGCGACGGCAGAAGGCCGGCGGCATCTGAGCAACGTGCGCGTGGTGCAGAAGAACCTTGTCTACGTCGTCGGTATCCCGCTCTCCGTCGCGGACGAAGAGGTCGGTCTTAGCTTCAGGCTTTTAGCATGCACGCCTGTATCGATTCGATTGTTGAGTCAACCCTAACTTGCGCGTGGTGCGCGTTGTTGAGTCAACCTTGTTCACGAAGTCGGAATCTCGCTGTCCGTCGCAAACGATTAGGTTAGTTGTAGCTTAAGGTTTAGCCTACTCGCTCGTTTCAGCTGTTGTGTCGATTCAAGACGTGCGCGAGGTGCAAAAGATTGTCGTTCACGTCGTCTCGATTCCGCTTTCCGTCGCAGACGAAGAGATTATTTTGTAGACTCAAGTTTAGGTCGTTCTCCCTCCTGCATCGATGCAATGGTCGCGTTCCTGCGTGCGCATACCGAGTCGTACCTGCTGCCGTTTCCGCGATTCCTGATACCCCGAATTCTCGCCGTCCCATCGTGTTCGCTCGGCTCGTTAAACCGCCTTCAGGCAGTCACCCGCCGACCCTGTTGCTTGTATCACCCGATTTTTTCCCTCACGCTCTTACTCGCAGACTCTGGAGCGGCGCGACTACTTCGGTCAGTACGGCAAGGTCGTCAAAGTGGCCGTGTCGCGCTCCAATTCCTCCTTCGGCGGCTCCGCCCACCCCCCCTCCGCCAACGTGTACGTTATTGAGTTTTTCATTAAGAGTTATCTCTCTTCGGTGGACAAAGTAAAGTAATAAAAGAAAGTAAGAAAAAAGGAAGAAAAGACGCACTCACACACACATTAATGTGTGTACTTTATTGAGACTTTCAGGTGTTCTGCGTCACTGTGGTGTGGTGGTGTGAACGTGTGGTGTGCATGTGTGGTGTGTGAACGTGGTGTGGTGTGAACGAAACAATTTTGCACGTGTCTGCATGTGAACGTGTGTCTGCACGTGAACGTGTGATGTGCGTGCATGTGCTTGTTGGACCAGGTACGTGACTTATCTGAGGGAGGAGGACGCCCTTCGGTGCATCCAGGCCGTTGATGGATGCCTTTTCGAAAATCGCATCCTCAGGTGCGCCCTGCTGGCATGACCCCTTTTGAATATAGCTGCTTGGAGTGTTAGGTTCCATGTTCTCGGTTTTCTTAGACTCAGGGCAGTTGTAGAAACCCTAATAGACCTTTACCTGTCCTGTACGCTGGTTCGGAATGGTTTGTCTGTGCAGAGCATGCTTTGGCACAACTAAGTATTGCAACGCGTGGCTGAAGAATCTGGTATGTGGCGCCTGTGAGTTGGGAGTTTAAGAGGGTAGTGCAAGCTGTTGCGTATCCTGCATGCGGCTGTGTGGGTCCAGGCCAGGTCTCGTTTGGCTTAAGCCTGCTTCGAGTGTGCGGTGTGGCAGATATGCAACAACCCGGACTGCTTGTATCTTCACGAGTTTGGCACGCAAGAAGACAGCTACACCAAGGAGGAGATGGTGCAGCGCCATGGCGTCAGGTGCGTTCTTAAAGATGCGTTTGTTGCAGAGTCATGGGCCTAGGTGCGTCTGTGAATGATGGCATGAGATTTAGCACGTCTAGAGACTATTAATGCTTTTCTGTTTCTCCTGTCGCTTTCTAGTATCGTTAATTTCTAGTGGACCTTCCTCCCCTCACCTGCCGCCTCACACTACTGCCTCTCCTACCAACTCCGTTCCCTGTCCTCCATCTGCTGTGTGCTGTTTGCTGTGCGCTGTGGCTGTGCGCCGTGTGCCATTGCCGTGTGCTTTGTGTGCCATCTCCCATGTGCCTCTCGCGCCGTCCTGCGTGCCTCGTTGCAGCAAGCACCCGCCTCCGTACTTTGACCCGTCGCATTCTGTAAACCGCCGTGCAGCCAATGGTCTGCCACCCTCGCTCGACACGCATGTGGAGAAGGTCAGTTGGGGTCAGTTGGGGTCAGCTAAGGGTAAGTTAGGTTCAGTTGAAGTCAGTCGGGGTCAGTTGGGCTGCAAACATCCGTGCTTCTCGGTTCTATGTCTAAATCCCATTTCACGTGTGAACAGTTCCATGCCGCTCGAGTTTCCTAATTCCTCTACACCACTGTGTATCTGACTGCAGCCAAGGTAGTTCCTGCAGGTTCTTAGCCCAATTGTTCTGGTTCGTGTGTGCAGAGTTCAGCTGTGCCATCAGCAAGCCATACAGCAACGACAGCTAAGGTGTTCACGCTGGGACCGTCAACGGCGCCCAAGACTGGAGGCCTGCTGCCCGCTGCCGCCTCATGGTATGATGCTCTCGAGTCGAATGATTCTCGCTGGCAAGTTTCCCAGGCAGTTGGGACATTCGGCTGAGCTCCTGCCCGTTTTCCCGCTCTCACGCTCTCCGCCCCAGCACTCACGCTCTCCGTCCCCTCCCTCACGCCCTCCGTCCATTCTCCGTCCCCTCTCCGCCCTCGTGCTGTTGTTCGTGGACTCGTTTCTTGCCAGGGGCTCCAAGGCGTCATTAGCGGGAAAGGTCGTTCTCTCAGCGTCCAAACCTGCGTCCACCAGTACAGTCTCCTCAGCAATATCCGTCCCTGCTGCGAAACCCACTTCTGGATCCACCCACACAGCATCTTCGTCATGGTCTTCATCCAACGGCCCACAATTGTTCAAACCATCTGCAGCAGTGCTTAGTGGCCGGGTGATCCAGGCCAGTGCGCATTCCCCGCCGGTAATATCGCATGTGAACGCTGCACAGGCCGCGGCTGGGGGGGGAACAGGGTTTGGATCGCTGCAAGACAAGCAGGTGCATGGCAAGTCACCGCCTAGCATTCTCTCACAATCGTCGACTGTGCGACCTGCAGCATCCACCACTGTGGGTTTCCAGACGTCTGCTCTCTCGAGTTCCGCTGCCTCTGTCGCTAGAACAGCAGCCACAGCCGCGCTTGCGTCAGGGCCAGGGAAACCGACAGCAGTAGGGGCAACGCAGCAGAAGGTACCAGCTGCTGCTGCCGCCGCTCCTGGCTCGGCTGGTTCGTTAGGTTCGGCAGCTTCTGGTTCGGTTGCAGGGGGTTCTGCGCGGTCTAAGGGTCAGTCGCCGTCGAAGCAGAGGTCTCGGTTAGTGGTTCTGGGGCACACGGCGCAGGCTAAGGCCTCGTCTCTGGGTAGGGAATCGCCCACTCCGGCGCAGCTCGCGTCGTCAGGTGCTGCATCAGGTGGTTCTTCAGGTGGTTCAGCAGGTGAACACGACTACGCGGCTGCTTTGGCAGGTCGAGCTGCTGCAGGAGGTGCAGCGGCTACGAGCAGCAGCGGATCAAAGAAGGGATTGAACGGGACGCACGCGCATAAAGGGTCAAGATCTGAGGACATGGAAGGAGTGGAGAGCGGTGATGCCAGCACGAACGCCGCTAGTGCCGCTAGTAGCAGTAAGAAAGGCGCAAAGGACAGTAGCGTTGAGAAGAGTGGCAAGGATGGGAAGGGTAGAAAGGGTGCGAAGGACGAAGCTGGTAGAAGTGGTGAGGCTGTCAAAAGCGACGAGTCAAAGAAGCGGGCTTCGATGGAAGAGTGCGGGGAGGGTCGGGAAGGAGAGAAGGAGAACACGGGAACGCAGAGAACAGGAGGCAAGGCTCACGCGCAACAGGCAGAGGTTGCAGAGAATGCGGCAGGGAAGGGCGGGGGCGGGGGTGGGGGCGGAAAGAAGGGGAAGAAGAAGAAGGGCGAGAGTGGCGTAGTGAGGGTGATGGTGGAAGCGGATGACTCGCGCAGCTGGGAGGAGCTGCATGGGGTAGAGGACGAGGAGGAGAAGCGGCCGTGGGAGGAGAAGCGACCACGGGAGGAGAAGCGACCGGGGGAGGTGGGTGAGGCGCGCGCGGATGGGAAAGAGGGTGCACAGGCAAGTGCGAAGAGCGAATTGCAGGCTAGGGTACTGGCGTTTGATCCTATGCGGCTGGATGCGCCGAAGGGGAAAGGGAAAGGCGGTGATGCTGGCGCAGGAGAGAAGGGGTCTGATGGGGGAGAGGACGGCGGTGGGGTGGATAAGGCGAAGGGGCGGGGTGACGCGGATAAGGGCGCCGGGAAGGTGAATGGGCAGGCGGAGAAAGGGAAGGGCAAAGGGGCTGGAACAGAGGAAGGAGACAAGGGGAAGGCGAGAGTGGGTGGGTCTAATGAAGGGGAGAAGAGTTCAGAAAAAGGTAAAGGTAAAGGGCAGCCAGAAGCAGACAAGAAGAAAGTTAAGGGGGCAGCAGCAAAGGAACCTGATAAGGATAAGTCAAAGGGGAGGGCGGAGAAGGCGGAGAAGGGTGAAGGGGCCTCGTCTAAACGCGCAAAGGCTGAGAGTAAAAGCAAAGAGGAGGTAGCAAAGAGTGCCACGTCAAGTCAGGCGCGCGAAGCTGATGTGAGCCCGTCAGACATGGAAGAAGATAAGAAGGAAGAGATGCAGGAGTCAGAGGGTGAGTCGTCTAAGATGGATTTAGATGTGGAGCCGGCAACATCAAGAGAGGCAAGCAAGGACGTGGATTTGAAGGAGGAGAAAAAAATAAAGGAGGAAAGACGGACAGAGAAGGAGAGAATGACTGAGGAGGAGAGAAGTTCAAGAGAGGAGAGTAGATCAGGGGAGGAGAGAAGAAGAGGAGAGGAGAGCCTTCCAGAGGAGGATGAGCTCTCAGTACTGATTGCTGGGGATGTGGTGGCTTCCGCATCAGCAATCCAGCTTCCAGAAGCTAGCCAAGGGGCAGACAGTGCTGCTGAACGGGAGTCTGATCAAGGTAAACACGCTTCTGTGGCTGATGCTGCTGACAGTGCAGGCGGCATGGGTGGGCAGGCGGGTAAGGCTATGGGTGCACCGAAGGGTATGAACGGGAGCATACTTCCTGTGCAGAGAAAAGCTCTAGTAGAGGCTGCAGCGCCTGCGGGAGGCGAGGGGCGCAGGGACGGGGGGCAGCGGAATGAGTCGAATGTGATCGCGGATATTCTTGGCATGGATGCGGACGCGTGGGGCACAGGCGCCTTTGGGTCCTCTGGTGTGCTGTCTAAGCTGCTCCGGGGGAGCTTTAAGGATCCAATGGCAACACCAGGAGCGGGAGAGGGTATAGGGGTAGGAGCAGCGGGTGAAACCGGGGCAGGGGCAGGGGCAGGGGCAGGGGCAGGGGGGCGGGAGTATGCAGTTCCGGGAACAGAGGCTTCTAGTGCCGCCGCCTCGAATTCGGAAGGAGTGGAAGCGAAATCAGCTCTGAATCCTGCATCTGCACCTGCACCTGCGTCCGCACCAGCACCTGCCATCCCCACTTCCCTCTCGCGGCGATCCCGGTTCCGCTTCGCGCAGGAAGAGGCTGGGGCAGGTACATCTGGGGAGGGCGCGGCTGCCAGTGCAGGTGGTGCCAGTGGCCAGGGGGGTGGGCTTGAAGCAACTGGGCTTCAGATGGGGGGCCTTCATGTTTCGTTTTTTGGCTCTCTTGGCTTTGGCTTGGGTGTCAGCAGCGGTGGCTTGGACAGTGGCGCGAGCAGCGCGAGAGCTGCCAATGCTGGCATGGGTGTCTGGGATAGTGGGAGTGAAAAGAATGCGGCCCATGATTTGCCTGGCAGCTTGAATACACAGCAGCAACAGCCAGAGCAGCAGCAGCAGCAGCAGCAGCAGTTGTGGAAGCCAGAAGCCACTGTGGGGTCAGTCCAGTTGTCCTCATCCAAAGCACCACAGGAGAGAGCTGCAGCACCCCTAAACCCATCCCAACAATCTGAAACCCCTGCATCTGACGCAACCCAAGACCCGCGACCCCCCACCCTGGCAACCTCTAGGAGCGGCAGCTTCAGGGCAGGCCCGCCGGGAGTGTCAGCACTAGCGCCCCCGCCTGGCTTTGCCAAGAGACCTGACTCCGTGCCTCCTGGCTTTGGCCGCACGTCCCCAGCACTCCCAGGTGGTGCGCCCGTCTTCCTCCCTCACCTCCCTTTTCTTTTTTGTTTTTCTACAGTCATGTTTGTCTGTCTTTCTCTACCTGTTCCGCATCCCCTTTTTCCCTGCTGGCCGCAGAATGCGCCCAGCTGGTGTGATGCCCCTCTGTGTGAACTGGTCCTCCCCTCCTTGGCACCACGTCCATCCCACAGGCGCCATGCAGCCGCCGCCTGGCTTTGGACCGCTCCCCGCCAAGACCCCTCCCTTGTCAGTCTCAACAGGGGCGCCATCAGCGCCGCCAGGGGCTGGGCTGTAAACTGATCTGTTTACTGTCTTTTCCTCCTTCACCTCACAGCCGCCATGCAACCGCCGCCTGGCTTTGGACCTCAACAGGGGCGCCATCAGCGCCGCCAGGGGCTGGGCTGTAAACTGATCTGTTGAATGTCTTCCCCTCCTTCACCCCACAGGCGCCATGCAGCCACCGCCTGGCTTTGGACCGCTCCCCGCCAAGACCCCTCCCTTGCCGGCGTCAACAGGGGCATCGTCAGCACCGCCAGGGGCTGGCCTGGAACCAACCCTAGAAAGTTCTCGAGCAGGTGAGTTTCCTCTACTCTTTTTTTTTTGGTAAGTATTTTCTTTACAGTTAAGCCTCCAGTGTGGGGCTGTGCTGAATTCTCCACGTCCCAAGCAGCGTGCTCCTCTTTGCTCTTTGAACTTCTGCTGCTCCTGTTGTCTCTGCACCTTCTTTCATTGCAATGCAACATGCAGCTTTTTACTTGGGTCCGTGCTCTCTCATGTGTTTCTTGATGTGTGTGGCTTTTGCTTCTGTCCCCCCTTCTCCCGGCCCGCCTCTTTCTCCCAAACAACCTCTCTCCGCCACCAGCAACAGGACGAGCATCCCCATCAGTAAACTCACAGCACCATCCACTCAGCGATACCAACCAGAACCCATCTTCTCTCCCACCACCTCTCACAACCATCGCATCAACCTCCTCCCCAGACCCGTCAAGGGCCAGGAGTGAGAACGCGAATTTATCTGGGGGGGATGAAGCAGCAGGCGGGGAGGGTGGGTATAGTGACATGGGGCCTATGGCAGAGCTGTTGATGAGAATAGGCGTCCATGTCAACCCAGCTGCACCTGCCGGCGCGAGCTCTAGCCTAGCTTTGGATTCTGGTGGTGCAAGATTTGATGCAGGTGGTGGTGCTGTGGGTGCAGGGTTTGCTTCCAGGACTGATTTGCCGCCGATTAGGGAGAGAGGGGTGGTAGAATCGGCAGGAGGAGCAGTGGAGAAGGAGCGTGGTTTGGCTGAGGTGCAGAGCGGGCTTTCTTCTCTGTTTCCTGGTTTGACCGGGCCGTCTGAAGCAGGGGCTGCAGCGGCTGCAGGGGGTGCAATGGCTGCAGGGGCGGCAGGAGCAGAGGTGTCGAGCTCACTTGATTTGGAGTTTGTGGACCCTGCAATCATGGCCGTGGGGAGGGATGCGCTTCTGCGCGATTCTGGCTCGGCCGGACTAGGAGGAGCGGCTCGGTCCGAGGCTGCTTTGCAGGACGGGAACGTCCTCAGCTCGCTGTTCATGGGAGCCGCAGCTAGGCTGTCCCGGCCAATGGAGGGCGGTGGGCTAGGCGTGGGTAGTGATGTTGGGGGCAGTGCTGGAGGCAGTACCTTTGGTAGCAGGAGTCCCGCGCCTACTATTGATAATGCTGATGCGTCGTCTCACTTGGTGAATATTCTGAAGGGGCTGTCTCTGGGAACCCAGCAGCAGCAACAGCAGCAGCAGCAGCAGCAGCAGCAGCAGCAGCAGCAGCAGCAGCAGCAGCAGCAGCAGCAGCAGCAGCAGCAGCAGCAGCAGCAGCAGCAGCAGCAGCAGCAGCAGCAGCAGCAGCAGCAGCAGCAGCAGCAGCAGCAGCAGCAGCAGCAGCAGCAGCAGCAGCAGCAGCAGCAGCAGCAGCAGCAGCAGCAGCAGCAGCAGCAGCAGCAGCAGCAGCAGCAGCAGCAGCAGCAGCAGCAGCAGCAGCAGCAGCAGCAGCAGCAGCAGCAGCAGCAGCAGCAGCAGCAGCAGCAGCAGCAGCAGCAGCAGCAGCAGCAGCAGCAGCAGCAGCAGCAGCAGCAGCAGCAGCAAGCAGTGCATAACTTTGCCCTGTCAAACAGGTATATGGAGCCGCAATTGATGCAGCCGCTGTCACAGCAGCAGCAGCAACAGCAGCAGCACCACCAGCAGTATCATCCGCAGCAGCTTTGTCTGGGGCCAGGGTCCATTCAGCAACCGTTTTCTGGAGGGCCGCCTGTCCCGTTCTCCTCCCTCACACCTCATACATCCTCCTTGGCGAATCCTCTTTCATCTGGAGACCCATCAGCCGGACTAAGAGGCCAAATGGGAGAGGGGGGCTTTATGAACGGCCCAGGACCATCCACACAACCGCGCCCTTACCCTGGTCTGTCTGCTTTCGACCATCCTCTCTCCCATCCTCCACACGCCTCCCTCGCAAACCCACCCCCATCTGATCATTTCCGGCAAGAATCTGACTCGCTGCGGGCCTTTTTGTCCTCTGCACCCAATGCCCCATTCCGTGCCGCACCTCCTGACCCCTTCACAGCCCAGTTCCAATCTACATCCAACGCCCCGTACGCGTCCGCAACAAGGAGTCTGCAGTTTGGAGCGTCGGGAACCCCAGGCAACACATTAGGGTTAGGGTTAGGGTTAGGGTTAGATGCAGCAGCTGGGCCACACGCCTCCACCAATCCGGCCTCCCTGGGCAACCAGCCTCAGGAGCCCCTCCCTCCTTCTGCAGCAGCGTCTGCCCCTGGATCTGATTTTCCACGCATGGGTGGTGGGTCAGGCTTGGGTTTCTCAGCAGCACAGACAGGAGGGGGTTCAGGCTGGTCTGGTGCGGTTCCATCAGGTCGGGTGGGGGGCGGTATCGGGTTGGAGCTGGGGGGAATGGGAGGAGCAGGAAGCGGACTGGGAGGAGGAAGCGGAATGGGAGGTGGAGCAGGGGGGAAGGGAGTGGGTTTGCAGCCGTTAGGGGGTCTGTCTGGTTTGTCTGGTCTGTCTGGTCTGTCTGGCCCATCGGGCTTGTCATCTGGCCTGTCTCGCATGATAGCTACCGTGCCAAATGCGAATGGGCAGGGCTCGCATGTTCCCTTCACAGGCCTGCCTCCTGGGCTGGGCAGCACGCGGGCCGGATTAGGGTTTCTGTCCGGTGCAAGTGGTGCGTGGGGCGGTGGAGAGAGGTTGGCGGGTGCGGGTTTGGCTGGTTTTGGGCTGAGAGAGCAGCAGACGCAGAGGATGGTGGGAGGTGGTGGGTTCAGGGATATTGGCCAAGGGGATGGGGCTCAGATGTCGTTTCAGCAGCAGCAGCAACAGCAGCAGCAGCAGCAGGAGCAGCAGCAGCAGCAACAGCAGCAGCACCACCACCAGCAAGAGCAGCAGCAGGTGCAGCATCACTTGCATCATGCACACATGCATGCGCAGAACCACATAGTCCCTTCTCCCCAGCACCAGCAGCAGCAGCAACAGCACTTTCCTACGCAGCCCCCGCCCCTGGACCTCTGGCAGTCAACACAGCCCAGTTCCAACTTCCCCCAGAACACAACCATAGGACCAGGCGGCATGGGAGTGGATAGGAGCACCAGTGGAGGGGACAGGAGTGGGCTGGGCATGGGGCAGGCTCGCCCAGGGGTGGGACCAGGTGGGATGGGGCCGGGTGGGGTGGGGGTGTCTGGGGTGGGGACGGGCGGAGAGGTGCGAGAGTCGAGGCATGCACGGATGGGGTTTGCGCTGCTGCCGGCAGCAGAGGGCGAGCAGCACACTGGCGGATGGGCAGGCCATGACAAGCGCAGCTTCCTCGGGCAGGTGAGATTTGTGGGCCGATAATTGTGTGGGCATGTGAAGTTTGTGGGCAGGTTATCTTTAGTGGCATGTGAAATAAAAAGGATAGGCACCGTTATTGGTGTTTCTAGTACGGTATGGTACTTATTATTTTGTATATTGTGTTTTCTACTTTCGTGGCTTCAGGGCATAAACGGCACACCTTGGTGAACAAAGGCAAGGGTGGTCGTTTTTTGAGGACGCAAACTGTGGTTGGGATTCATGGCTTTTTGGTTGTGTGTGGAGTGTCCAGCCGTTTTGAAATATTGTGTGAAGTTTATTTGTTCTGCGGGAATCAGAGTCGTTTTGTGAGAAATCTTTGCAGTGTGTTGGGAGTTTGCTTGAAAGTGGGTTCGTATGCATGTACGGCAAATAGGTTGACTAGTTATCAGGCCTTCAGATTGGTTTCAGGGCATGCTTGTAATTCTGGCTCTACGAAAGGTGTTTTTACGTTAGGGAAGTGTTCTGTGAAGTGGCGAATAGAATTGTACGAGTCCCGCAAATGGGGGCGCAAATTTGCCAGATTTACTAGGGAGTCCCACAGCCACATAACTCTCAGCTGGTGCTGCATCCCCACGGGTGATCCGCCATGCGATCCAGAGCCGTCATCCACATCGAACGGCTGTGGGCCCGCGCGGCGCGCGCCCGCCCATGGCATCCCAATCGCGCCGCGGATCCGTCTTCTGCCTCCGCCATTGTCACGTCGTTCACATCTCGCTCGCTACACGCACCTGAACTGTCCCGGTCCTTGCTGACGTCACCTGCCGCCACAGCGGAAGCGCGGGCCGCCACCTCGAGATTGCCGCGCGCGCTAACAGCAGCCGCTGGGCGTCGCGGCGGCGGCTTTCCCTGGCCCGTAGACGCCGCCGCCGCACTCCGCGAATCCGCATATGCTTCCCCCAGCCCCTCTACCGCTTCCGCCCATCCGGATGAATTTAGCTCCCCAACGGCTTCCGTTCTCGCCGCGCGCTCCTCTCCCCCCGCTGCCTATTCCCCTTGCGCCGCCGCTGCCTTGCGCGCCCCTAGGACTCTTCCGCCCGCGGGCTTCCCCCGAGTCACTGCTTCCGCCTGCGCCGCCCGCGCCGGTTCAGGTGCCGCTGTAGGTGACGGACGGCGCGTTGTGTTTGACAGAGTGGGCGCTGTGGCTGACGGAGTGGGCACTGTAGCTGACGGAATCCGCGCTGTAGCTGACGCACCAGTCAATTCACGCGATAGATGTCCATCTATAGGAGACCAGGGATTACGGTGGGTTCTGATGGATTTGGAACGGTGCAGAGCCGCACATGGTGGAAGAATTGAGAGGGAAAAGTTGGCCAAGAATGAAAGGGTTTCAGGTTTCAGGGTTTATGCGAATGAAGGTTTAAGAAGACAGCCTGGGGTGGCAGTGATATGGGAAAAAGAGAAGAGGAAAGATGGAGCATGGGGATTTGACACGGGTCGAAGCTCAAAAGATAGGGCATGGCTGTTGTTGCAGATTGGTCAAATACAGCAGCATATGCATGCACACAGAGCACATAGACTCGTTACACACAAATGCATTATGCATGCATGCAGTAGTACGCATGGGGAGCGGATACATGCGTACAGCAGTGATGTTAGGTGTGACATGGGCGGACATGGTATCTGTTGCCCCTCTTATACTGACGCGTTGAAACAGTATGGCTCCACAGATTTAACGCAGTCTTATATTAACACGTTCAGCCAATATAGCTCAAGGGATACAAGGCAGAGAGACAGCTTGCATGTGGGCAGGCGCTATCTGCACTCTGAGCAGTCGAATGGCGGCAGCAGCATGAGCAGTGCTGAGAGCAACAGCACGTGTGGTACCGAGAGAAGCAGCGACAGCAGCAGCAGCAGCAGCAGCAGCAGCAGCAGCAGCAGCAGCAGCAGCAGCAGCAGCAGCAGCAGAAGCAGCAGCAGCAGCAGCAGCAGCAGCAGCGTTTGCAGCCCTGAAAGCAGCAGCACTAAGAGCAGCAGTAGCATCCAGAGCAGCAGCAGCAGCAACAGAGAGAAGACAGGGTGGAGGGAGAGGGAGGTGCTTCAGCCGGCCAATCTGGTGTCTCTCGCACGCCTGGCCTCTGGCCCTCCCATTGCCGCGTGAGACACCATTTCCTAGCCATCTCACGCTGCCGCCACTGCTGCTCTCATGCCATCCCCACCACTGCTCCCTTTCCTCGCTTCCTTGCCTCTCACCCACCCGTCTTCTCACATGCTTCAAGCAGCCCTTCTCCTTCATCTCTCCAAACGTCCCCGTGCTGCCTTTGTTCCACCCTCCCCCTCCCTCCCCCTCCCTATACAGTCTCATCGTCTACAATCACACAGAGGCAGCAGTTGCGGCTCTGCTACTGGCAGGGGCATCTGACTGGGTGAGAAAAAGTTTGGCTACTGACGACAAAAAAGTTGCCATTGGCGAGGTTGTACTAGTAACGAGAATGTTGCTAGTAACGGGGGTGATGCTGTAACGAGGATGTGTCGGCAGCAGTGCGTGTGAGTTCCTCTCCCATTCCCCTCCTGCCTTCCCTCCTTCCAACCCCTGTCTTCCCCTTCACCTCTCTTGGTTAGCTGTCTTCCCCATTTAGCTATATGGATAGCTAGACGGTCAATCGATAGAGGCCATGGTGCTTTACATGGCAGCAAATTACTGAGTATGACACAGGATTAGGTGAAATGTTCGTTTCGCGTAGAAGTACGCTTGTTGTCTCCACTTGCCTTCCCCAGCTATGTGGATCGCTCGACGGTTCAAAGGAGGGGAGTCCGTTTTAGGCTCTTATCTCGACCCGCTAGCTGATAAGGCACTCGTGGCGTGTGTGGCGCCGCTGGCACTGCTGGGGAAGGGGCTGCTGCCGCTGCTGACACTGCTGGGGAAGGGAAGGGGTTGCGGCTGGCTGTGCGAGTCAATCCCGCTCCTGCCGTCCTTCCTTTGTTGTATCCCCTTTGCACCCACCCCACCCCTCCCCCACTACCACAGCTAGATGGCTATTTGGCTCGGAGATTCAAAGCAGAGGAGTGGGTGCTAGGGTTTTATTTAGACCCGCTAGCAGACAAGGCACTCGTGTGTTGCGCTGGCAATGCTGCTGCTGATGCTGTTGCTGATGCTGCTGCTGATGCTGCTGCTGATGCTGATGCTGATGCTGATGCTGATGCGGATGCTATTGCTGATGCTGTTGCTGATGCTGATGCTGATGCTGATTGATAGTTTTGCTGATGCTGATGCTGTTGCTGATGCTGATGCTGATGCTGATGCTGATTCTGATGCTGATGCTGATGCTGTTGCTGATGCTGATGCTGATGCTGATGCTGATGATGATGCTGATGCTGTTGCTGATGCTGATGCTGTTGCTGATGCTGATGCTGATGCTGATTCTGATGCTGATGCTGATGCTGATGCTGTTGCTGATGCTGATGCTGATGCTGATGCTGATTCTGATGCTGATGCTGATGCTGATGCTGATGCTGTTGCTGTTGCTGATGCTGATGCTGATGCTGTTGCTGATGCTGATGCATCTGATTTTGATGCTGATGCTGATGCTGTTGCTGATGCTGATGCTGATGCTGTTGCTGATGCTGATGCTGATGCTGTTGCTGATGCTGTTGCTGATGCTGTTGCTGATGCTGATGCTGTTGCTGATGCTGATGCTGATGCTGATGCTGATTCTGATGCTGATGCTGATGCTGATGCTGATTCTGATGCTGATGCTGATGCTGAAACTGTTGCTGATGCTGATGCTGATGCTGATGCTGATTCTGATGCTGATGCTGATGCTGATGCTGTTGCTGATGCTGATGCTGATGCTGATGCTGTTGCTGATGCTGATGCTGATGCTGTTGCTGATGCTGATGCTGATGCTGATGATGATGCTGATGCTGATGCTGTTGCTGATGCTGATGCTGATGCTGATGCTGATGCTGTTGCTGATGCTGATGCTGATGCTGATGCTGATGCTGTTGCTGATGCTGATGCTGATGTTGATGCTGATGCTGATGCTGATGCTGATGTTGATGCTGATGCTGATGCTGTTGCTGATGCTGATGCTGATGCTGATGCTGATTCTGATGCTGATTCTGATGCTGATGCTGATGCTGATGCTGATTCTGATGCTGATGCTGATTCTGATGCTGATGCTGATGCTGATGCTGATGCTGATTCTGATGCTGATGCTGATGCTGATGCTGATGCTGATGCTGATGCTGATGCTGTTGCTGATGCTGATGCTGTTGCTGATGCTGATGCTGATGCTGATTCTGATGCTGATGCTGATGCTGATGCTGTTGCTGATGCTGTTGCTGATGCTGATGCTGATGCTGTTGCTGATGCTGATGCTGATGCTGATTCTGATGCTGATGCTGATGCTGATGCTAATGCTGATGCTGATGCTGATGCTGATGCTGATGCTGATTCTGATGCTGATGCTGATGCTGATGCTGATTCTGTAGCTGATGCTGATGCTGATTTTGATGCTGATGCTGATGCTGATTCTGATGCTGATGCTGATGCTGATGCAGATGCTGATGCTGTTGCTGATGCTGATGCTGATGCTGATGCTGATTCTGATGCTGATGCTGATGCTGTTGCTGATGCTGATGCTGATGCTGATACTGATGCTGATGCTGTTGCTGATGCTGATGCTGATGCTGTTGCTGATGCTGATGCTGATGCTGATTCTGATGCTGATGCTGATGCTGCTGATGCTGATGCTGTTGCTGATGCTGATGCTGATGCTGTTGCTGATGCTGATGCTGATGCTGATGCTGAAACTGTTGCTGATGCTGATGCTGATGCTGATGCGGATGCTGATGCTGTTGCTGATGCTGATGCTGATGCTGTTGCTGATGCTGATGCTGATGCTGATGCTGTTGCTGATGCTGTTGCTGATGCTGATGCTGTTGCTTGATTCTGATGGTGATGCTGATTCTGATGCTCATGCTGATGCTGATGCTGATGCTGTTGCTGATGCTGTTGCTGATGCTGATGCTGATGCTGTTGCTGATGCTGATGGTTATGCTGATTCTGATGCTGATGCTGATGCTGATGCTGATGCTGATTCTGATGCTGATGCTGATGCTGATTCTGATGCTGATGCTGTTGCTGATGCTGATGCTGATGCTGATGCTGTTGCTGATGCTGTTGCTGATGCTGATTCTGATGCTGATGCTGATGCTGATTCTGTAGCTGATGCTGTTGCTGATGCTGATGCTGATGTTGATGCTGATGCTGATGCTGATGCTGATGCTGATTCTGATGCTGATGCTGATGCTGATGCTGTTGCTGATGCTGTTGCTGATGCTGATGCTGATGCTGATGCTGATGCTGTTGCTGATGCTGATGCTGATGCTGTTGCTGATGCTGATGCTGATGCTGATTCTGATGCTGATGCTGATGCTGATGCTGTTGCTGATGCTGATGCTGATGCTGATTCTGATGCTGATGCTGATGCTGTTGCTGTTGCTGATGCTGATGCTGATGCTGATGCAGATGCAGATGCTGTTGCTGGTGCTGATGCTGATGCTGTTGCTGATGCTGATGCTGATGCTGTTGCTGATGCTGATGCTGATGCTGATTCTGATGCTGATGCTGATGCTGATGCTGATGCTGTTGCTGATGCTGATGCTGATGCTGATGCTGATCCTGATGCTGATGCTGATGCTGATTCTGATGCTGATGCTGATGCTGTTGCTGTTGCTGATGCTGATGCTGATGCTGATTCTGATGCTGATGCTGATGCTGATGCAGATGCAGATGCAGATGCTGTTGCTGGTGCTGATGCTGATGCTGATGCTGTTGCTGTTGCTGATGCTGATGCTGTTGCTGATGCTGATGCTGATGCTGATTCTGATGCTGATGCTGATGCTGCTGATGCTGATGCTGATGCTGTTGCTGATGCTGATGCTGATGCTGTTGCTGATGCTGATGCTGATGCTGATGCTGATGCTGTTGCTGATGCTGATGCTGTTGCTGATGCTGATGCTGATGCTGATGCTGATGCTGATGCTGGTCAAATCCCCTTCTCTTGCCCCTTTCACCTCCCCTTCCACTTGTCCCCTCCTCCATTGCTGCAGCTGGATGGGCATTTGGCGCGGAGATTCGAGGGGAGTCAGTGCTAGGGTCTATTTTAGACCCGCTAGCAGACAAGGCTCTTGTGGCGTGTGTGGCGCTGGCACTGCTGGCAGAGTGCATCAATCCCCCTCCCCTACCGTCTCCTGCCTTCCTTCCTTCCTTCCTTCCGTTACCCCCCTTCTTCCTCTATCGCCACAGCTAGACGGGTACTTGGCGCGGAGGTTCAAAGGAGGGGAGTCCGTGCTGGGCTCCTATCTAGACCCGCTTGCTGATAAGGCACTGGTGGCGTGTGTGGCGCTGGCCCTTCTGGGGAAGGGGCTGCTGCCGCTGCTGGCAGAACGTGTAAATTCTCCGCCTTCCTTCCTGCCTTGCTTCCTCTGTGGTATCCCCCTTCCACCCACCCCACCCCACCCCCACTGCTACAGCTAGACGGGTACTTGGCTCGGAGGTTCAAAGGCGGAGAGTCAGTGCTGGGCTCCTATCTAGACCCGCTAGCAGACAAGGCACTCGTGGCGTGTGTGGCGCTGGCCCTTCTGGGGAAGGGGCTGCTGCCCCCGTGGCTGGCAGTGCTGGTGCTGGCTCGAGATGTGTTCCTGTTCGGGGGGCACGTTGTGATGCGGTTGAATGCGGTGCAGTGGAAGGTGGGTGGGTGGGAGGTGGGTGGGAGGTGGGTGGGAAGAGGCGGGTGGGGAGAGAGGGGGTGGAGGGGAAGGGGCTGCTGCCCCTGTGGCTGGCAGTGCTGGTGCTGGCTCGAGACGTGTTTCTGTTTGGGGGGCATGTGGTCATGCGGTTGAATGCGTGGAAGGTGGGTGGGTGGGTGGGTGGGAGGTGGGTGGGGAGGGGTGGGTGGGGAGAGGTGAGTGGGGAGGGGAAGGGGCTGCTGCCCCCGTGGCTGGCAGTGCTGGTGCTGGCTCGAGATGTGTTCCTTTTTGGGGGGCACGTTGTGATGCGGTTGAATGCGGTGCAGTGGAAGGTGGGTGGGTGGGTAGGTGGGAGGTGGGTGGGGAGGGGTGGGTGGGGAGGGGCGAGTGGGGAGAGAGGGGGTGGAGGGGAAGGGGCTGCTGCCCCCGTGGCTGGCGGTGCTGGTGCTGGCTCGAGATGCGTTCCTGTTCGGGGGGCACATGGTGATGCGGTTGAATGCGGTGCAGTGGAAGGTGGGTGGGCTTGGAGGGGATGGAGGGGGATGTTAGGACTGCTGCTGCCGCAGCTAGCAGTGCTAGTTCTGCTGCCGCAGCTAGCAGTGCTAGTTCTGCTGCCGCAGCTAGCAGTGCTAGTTCTGCTGAGCACCCAACCCCCTGCAGAGGGGGCACTAGCGTTCTGTTGAAGCGTTCTTCTCTTCAGAGGGCATTAGTTGATGCACCGCTCACAACCGCTCTCAATCGCACCCAACCCCCTGCAGAGGGGGCACTAGCGTTCTGCTGCAAAGCGTTCTTCTGTTCAGAGGGCATTAGTTGATGCACCGCTCACAAATACCGCTCTCAACCGCACCCAACCCACTGCAGTGGTGGAAGCACCGCGCTCACTTCTTCAACATCCGCCAGGGCACAGCAGAAAGAGTGGAGCCTCTCCTCATAAGCAAGGTGCGCTCTTAGTTAAGAGTTTTGTTCAGTTTCGTGGAGAGGGTGGACAGCTGAGAGAGTGGAGCCGCTCCTCATAAGCAAGGTGACCTTGACCCATACTTGAAAAAAACCCTTAGCTTCCGAAGTGCCTCCTTGGGTAGAGAGGGTGGACGGCAGAGAGGGTGGGGCCTCTCCTTATAAGCAAGGTGCGCTCTTAGTTAAATGCTTTGTTCGGTTTTGCTTACAAGGTGGGATTTGGCACAAGTTCTCTACTTGCGATGTTTGTACTTATCCAAGTACCTCACCAGCGAGGTGCAGTGCAGTATTCCCTCTCTTTTTTTCTTAGCTCAGCCTATCTCTAGTAAGATTAAGTCATAACAAAAAGATTCACTTGCACGGTGCGCTTTTAGCCTTTTCGACTCAAAAAATTTAGCCATGCTCAGTAACAAGTCAAACCACGTCACACCAAGTCAACCCAGGTCACACCAAGTCAGAATCAGTGAAACCTTGTTAGATTAAGTCAAAGCAGGTCAAACCCTTTGACCCTTTGCCCCCTATCCCGCCCCTCATGCAGATCAACACATGTTTGCAGAGCAGATGCTGCTCCTCCCTGCTGCTCCTCCCTGCTGCCCTTATAAGTTCACTTGTGGGAATACTCAAAGTACCCCCCTCTCCTGCCCCCCATGCAGATCAACACATGTCTGCAGATGCTGCTTCTCCCTGCTGCCCTCCTGCACGACCCTTACCTCCTCTCCACCGCTCCCAACCTCCTCCCATACCTCTGGTACCTCTCTCACCTCTCAACTCCCCCTTCCTCTCCCCATTCCCACCCTCTCTCCCATCTTCCCACGACCTCCCCCCAGCCTCCTCTCTTCCTGATTCCCACTCATGAATTTGCCTGTACACACAACTCTCGTTCTTTCTCTTCGTCTACCATACTCCCTGTTCACTCATTTGGCTCATCCATTTTACAAGCAAGAGCTCGTCCATTTTACAACCTTCTTGCTTCTTCGTCTGAACAATTTCCCATCAAAGCACCGTGCTTGCTCGTCTAATTCTTCTTCTTCTGTGCTCCCCTCCCTGGCAGCTACTCAGTTGCAGCCACCACTGTCACCTCGTGGGCAGCGTACATGTGGGTTGGGCTTATGCGCAAATAGACGATACAGTAGTATAGCGAGTGAGGGTTGACCAGGGTTGACCACAGAAGGCCGGAGAAGACCAGAGAAGTCCAGGGAAGACCAGAGAAGACCACCACTCTCACCTCTTGCGCAGCTTACATGTGGGTTGCCCTTATGCGTAAATATATTAGAGAAACAGATGGCACGCCATTCATTGTACGGTACCTGTATTAGGGTGTAGTGAAGATATGAATGAACCATCCCTGGCTGTCACTTGCTGGGCTGTGTACATGTGGGTTGGGCTTATGCGCAAGGACAATCATGGTTTTCCTTTTGAGAAATCTCTCAACGACAATCGCGGAGTTACCGGTGTGTACCGAACTGGTTATGTGCGAGCATGCTAGGAAGGGGCTAAGTAATGATGGGGAAGAGCTTATTACCAGTATGTACATCACACGCCTGTTGTATCAACCACCGAGTATCAAAGGTATCATCGACTGCTTTGAATGATTATTGATTTTGTTTTTTTACTTCTTTTGTTCGGTTAGTTGTATGGAATAAGATGCCAGTACAGGATTGATAAATGATAAATGATCATCCTTTTATTCAAGTAGCGGTTTACAAGCAGGTTTCACAAGACAAACCCACATGCCTACAAGCATCACCATGCACACAACACTAGAGAAGCACAACGCAGGCATGCAGCTTGCAGGAAGAACCAGGCTTGCTTAGGCGCAGACACTCCCAACCACATCCCCTCCCCCATCCATCCAACACCCCATCTCCCCTCCTCCTAGATTTCCTACCCATAAAACCCTGATGCAGATGCCAACGCTAGTGCCACTGCCACCAACTCCCCTGCATGCCGCTGCAAGGAAGAGACGGCGACCGAGCGACGACTTGATAGCTTAGGGTTTGTTGGGCCCGGAGGGTGTAAGGTTGGGAGCACCAAGCCCGGGGACAATGAGGCCAATGCCTGGGGCTTTGGTCGGGTCGAAGGTGCATGTTGCGTTGGGCTGCCCGGCGTAGCGGCACACTCCGTACTCCTTGGGGCGTTGGGCCGCAGCCATGAGGCTCTGCGCGTAACTGCGGTTCGGGGTTTGGGTTCGGGGTTTGGGGTTTAGGGGGTTTTTGAGAGTCTCAAAACTGGCCGGCGTAGCGGCACACTCCGTACTTGGGACGTTGGGCAGCCGCCGTGAGGCTCGCCGCATACCTGTGGTTGTTGCATGGGTTCGGGGTTTAGGGGGTTTTAGCGAGGTGGTTTCGGGTGCAAGAAGTAAGTAAGCGGGCAGGTGCGTGCTGTGCGTGCTGTGCGTGCTGTGTGCCGTGGTGAGGAGTGAGGGGATACTATACACGTTGGCATTGGGGGAGCCGTAGGTGGGCAGGTGCATGTTGCGGAAGCAGAGGGTGCACGATTGTGAGAAGTGAGAAGGAGCACCCGGAAGCATGATCGCATGGGTGCTTGATTGCTTACATGTTGGCATTGGGGGAGCCGTAGGTGGGCAGGTGCATGTTGCGGAAGCAGCGCCAGCCGCGGCAGCGAGGGCAGCCCGGGCAGGTAGCATCCGCTGCGCAGTTAAAGCCCTTCTTGGGGTCGGGCGCCGTGAAACGGCAGGTCCCTGGGGGGAAGGGGGGAAGGGGGGGAGGGGGGGAGGGAGAGGGGGAGGGCCGGGGGCGTTGACTGAGAGGAGGAGAGAGAGGAGACGGGAAGCACTAGAAACAAACCACTAGAAACAACCAGTGGCCCAGTCAAAGGTGCCCTGCTATTGGTTCTTCTGACAGACGTATGTTGTACCACCGGCCTTTGCGTCCCTTCAAGAAATGCCTTGCCCTTCACACGGAAATGCACTAGAGGTGACTAAAAGAGAACTTACAAAAGCCAGTGGCCCAGTCAACCGCTCCTTGCCGCTGGATCTTCGGACTGACGCATGTGTACCCACCACTGGCGTTTCAGCCTCGAACCAAAAGAGAACTTACAAAAGCCAGTGGCCCAGTCAGCAGTGCCGCGCCACTGGATCTTCGAACTGACGTATGTGTACCACGTGCCGTTCTTGGCCTTCACAGACGTTCCGAACAGAGGGTGGAACCTGAGGGGGGGGAGGCGGGAAGTGGGGAAGGACGGAAGGGAGAGGGGGAGAATGTGAGGGCGACGAGCAGAGAGCGGCAATGGGCAAGCAAGGGGGAGAAAGCGCGCGGAAGGGCTGATGTGATGTGACGTGCGTGGGGTGATGGACAGCGAGTGGGCAGAGCGAGGGCAGAGAGGGCGGAGAGAGTGCGGAGAGGGCGGAGCATACATGGGGACGTGATAGGGGTAGAACCCGAAGGGCGTCGAGTTGGGGCTCTTTGGCTGCAGTGTGAGTGGTCTCAAAAATCGACTCACAGGGGAATATCATAGGGGTAAAACCCGAAGGGCGTCGAGTTATTGGTCCGCAGGCTCCGCTTCCAAAACGGCACGAACGCGAGCTTGCGCCCCGGCGCGCCCGCGCCCGCGCCCGCCGCCGCCGCCACCTGCGCCTCCATCCCCGCGAGGAACTTCTTCACCTCCGCGGGCGCGTCCTCCGGGGGCGGCTGCGGCTGGAGCGAGCGCGCGAGCTCCATGTCTTCCCCCTCCAGCGACAGATCGAACAGCGCGCTAATCGGCGACGTGGTATCGGGGATATTGACGGGCGTGACGGGCGTCGCGGGAGTGGCGGGAGTGGCGGGAGTGGCGGGGGTGGCGGGATCGACCAGGTCCTCTATCGCCTCTGCTTCGTCATCCGCGTCCGGGATATCCTCTGGGCCGGCGCCGGGGCTGGTCGCGGGACCGTTGCCCGCGCTCCCCGCGTTCGCCGAGTTGCCGGGGCCTGCGCCGCCCGCTGCGCCGGGGAAGCCCGGCGGGAGGGTCATTCCGCCAGCGCCCGCGGGGCCAAGGCCGACGGCCCCCGCGGAGGCCGCGCCGGTGGCGGCGCCCGCGTCCGCGCCGTAATCATCGTCCGCCACGCGCTCGACGTAGTCGTCCCCGATGTCCTGGAGCATGCGGTAGGCGGAGGCGGAAGGCGCAAGGAGTGCGCACGCGAGCAGCAGCGCGCAGGCGAGGAGCGGGAGCACGACGCGCGATTTCACCGCCATGGCGGGAGGAACGGTGATACTAGCTGCTGCTGCTGCCGATACCGAGGAGAAAGTGAGAGCCTTGCGGGTGAATCCAAGAACGAATTCGTGAAAGCGACGCTTCAGAAGTGCTTGCACTGGGAAGGTAAAGCTCCTCGAGCCGAAGAGAGGACAGAGAAGAGAAAATCGGATGATTTCAAATGGCTTCCGTCGCTTGCTTTAATAGCTTTCAGCCTCCCTGCTCCCACCCCGCGCGGTTCCCAGTTGCTGCCTGTGCGACTGACTCGAGTCTGGCTAGCAGGGGGCCTGACTCTCAGGCGACTAGCGACTCCGACTCCCAGGCGTTTCCGAGGCGGACTCGACGCGAGTCCGAGTCGGCCCGGAGTAGGGTCGCGTGGGGAGGTTGAATCAACCCCCGGGGTTTAGCGGCACTGGCATCAACGAACCAACCATCAACGGGCTGAGTCAGCCCGTTTGGTTGAATCAGCCCAGTTGGGCTGGCTGCCGCACCAGGCTGGTGCAGCCCGGTTGGGCGACTCGCGCCCGAGGAGTCAACCTCTTCAACCTCCTCACTTGCGCGCGTCGCCCGCTGCGTCGCACACAGTCGCACGGCAACAGGCGGGCGTGAAGGGGGCAAAAGATAGCATTGGGGGAAACTACTGCCGACGCAAAGCTCTTCGGCTGAGGGTGGAGCGACTGAGCGACCGAACGACATACTGGGAATCGAGCGTTCAAGCTATCTCGTGATACATCCAGCGGTTGAGACGGTTCGCGAGGCGTCTAGCCTGAGCACCGGCGAGCATCGTACCGTCGCGCACCGAAACGACGTGCACCGAACCGACGTGCACCGCACACGGAGGGCCAGTTGCTCAACGTGAGGGGCGCTGCATGGCGCAAGCTCAAGAGTTGCATGTTGCTCGTTGTTGAAAGCGCTCAGAATGGGATCTGGAGGTTGCGGGCTGACTGGATGACTATGGAACCGCCGCGTTTCGTCCTCTGATGAATGCAGTCTGCTGTTAACTGGAAGAGCTCGCTCCAGGCGATTTTCGAGACGTCTCAAAGGCTGATTCCGGAACTTCTACGGAGCTGCTTTCGACTGGTACAGCGCCGCTGGTTCTCCTCCCGGTTTCCCCTCGATTCTCCCTGCGACATCTTTGCCTTCGCCCTGTCCGTTCCGTGTGAAAACGTGAGTCATGGAGTAACCGCAAATGGATGATGTTGGGGCAGCACTAGGCAAAGATTGAGGATAGAGTATAGTTGAGAGCACAAGACAAGAAAGATGAATCTCGGCTCGGCTTGGTGTGGGGCGGGAAGGAGGCAGAGTCGCAGGAATGGGAGGAAAATCCCGGAGCGCAGGTGTGACGCGGTTTGGTCGAAATTGTGCCGTTTGGTATTCCAGTTTGATCCCCGTTATAAATCACCTATTCATTCAAAGAGCTTTTGGTTCCATGATCCGAGATAGAAAGAGGAAAAAGGAAAGAGGGAGAAGGAAAAGGGAAAAAAGGACACCGGAAACAACTCAAACGCAACACCCATAAAAAGCCCCATAAAAATACTCCATATAAAAAAAAACCCAACCAGGATCCCCCACCAGACGTCCCATCTCGCACCCCATTCCCCCTCCCCCTCCCCCCCCAAGTCACATCTGCACATCCACCATGTAGGGGGCCTCCACCCAAAGAGGCCCGCCCTCCACCTCGACATCGTCCCTCTCCCGATCCACCAAGTCCACATTCAACCCCCCCATGGAAGACGCCGCCCGAAGCAGGATGACACGAGCTTGCGCCCGTTGTAACGCCACTCCGATGAGCGCCTTCAGAGACCCCAAAAGGTAAGCCGAGAACGAAGTGTCATCCTCCCGACAAGCCCCCCGTGACACAGCTAGCCCCACGTGCGCGTCCCCCTGCTGTCGAACAGGGTTTAGGGTTGGCGTCCACCTCTGGTACTGCTGGCGGACCGACGCCTTGAAACTCTTGTTGATGGAGACATCGAGCGGCTGTACCTCCGCCGTACAGCCCGACGGGATGACAGCCGGCACGCAGTTCATCTCGCGGAGCTTCTCCTTGACCTCCTCGGTGAGGTGACCGCGGTAAGAGTCCAGCACCAGCATCGAGCTCTTCGCGTGTCTGCCGAACCGCGGCTTCAAGAAGGGCTTGACGCCCTCCTCCAGCCAGCGCACGACGCCCGCGGAGTCCATCCATCCGTTCTCGTGGCAAGCCACGACCACATCTGCACGAAACAAGAGCATGTGGTTAGAACACGCACTCAGAACAGAACGCAAATGACCAGGAGTGCACGTGTGTACGTACCGGCAGGAAAATCGCCCTTCGGCAATGTTTTGCGCTTGAAGAACACCCACGGCTTGAGCTTCCTTCCGTCCGCCGTGCACGCCAGCATCACGGTCACTCGCTGCTTCTGATACCCCGCGCTCCTGATGTTCACCGAGCGAGCACCCGTTTCCTCGACGGTGGTGGTGGCGGGCATCTCCAGCCATAGCGGCGTCTGATCCGCGTTGATGATCCACGCGGTGTCGATGCCGCGCTCGCGACGCTTGTCACGCACGAACTGCCAGAACATGCGGCAGAGCTCAGCGACACCTGCACGGCGGGAGAAGAGACGACGGACACAGACGGGGGGGTTAGTACACATGTTCAGAAACTACGTCGCAAGGAAACCGGACAATTTCTTACGCTCGGCGGTTTTCTGGGCAACCCGGGTCTTCATGCGGACGCTCAGATTCCAACGACGCCGAAAGCGCGCCGACCACCTCTGGCTTCCTTTCCACTTCTTGTCCGGGTACAGCAGCCTCATGAACTCCCGCGACCACTCCTGCAGGCGGCCGACTGACACGGCAGAACCCTTGCGGCGCCACTCGAGCAGCTTCTCGTACACCTTCAACTCCATCGGCCGGTACCACGACGACCGCCCGCGGCCGTGCATTCGCTTCCGGGCGGAGTGGACTTCCTTGAGGAAATCCGCCGCTTTCTTCCAGTTGGCGAGGCACTTGCGGTGGATTCCGCTCTCGCGAGCCAAGGCGCGCACCGACACCGACCCATCGAGGCGACTTGCCCACTTCAACTTCTCCGCGGCGGTGTAACCTTGCCGCTTGTGCTCGGTGAGCTTGTGCCTGGGAGAGGGGGGGCGGGCATCACGGTTCTCAGAAGAGGGGTGGGGTCGCTTGCGATTAGTCGGAGGATACGTTGGTATGGGCAGTTTCTCAGGTAGCCCGTCGCGTGACCAATACTCCACGCCGTCGTCGTCACCGTCGCCCGAGAAACCTTCTGGAAACACATCCTCAGCGGTGCCGCCCTCGGCGCCTCCCTCGGCACCACCCTCGACGGAAGCCTCTGTGTCACCCTCGGCGCCGTTTTCGCCGCTCGCATCCTCAGCGGTAGCGACATCATCGTCGACGCCGATTGCAGATTCGTCCCAAGGGCAATCTTCGGGCTGTCCCCAACGTCCTCCAGGCACGTGGTTGACTCGGACGTACACATCCGGCCCGTTGTTGTTCTCCGGTTCGGACAGGAATTCGAAACGCCGACGCGGGCAGCAGCGTGAGCACAGGCTGATTGGCAGTGGGTTGCGGTGACACATGAACCAGAGGCGAAGGAGGAACAGGAGGCGCAGGAGGCGAAGGAGGCGAAGGAGGAAGAGGAGGCGAAGGAGGTGCAGGAGGTGCAGGAGGCACAGGAGGCGCAGGAGGCTGTGGTGGCTCTGGTGGTTCTGGCAGGAGACGGGTGCACCACCCGTCAGCGTCTACTGTAAACGCGGGCCTTCGAGCAGGTTTTTTCTTGAACAAGAAGTGGGTGCCGCTGAATTCCGCCATGGCTTCCGCAGCCAGGCGGGAGTGACCAAGAAACGGATGAAGAAAGTGAGAGAAATGGTGCACAAATGAGCGATTCAAAGGGACCCCTGCTGGTTTGCGCCTCGGCTCTCCTCGTCGGGTCGAGACGGGTACCCCCTGTCTGAACCCGGAGAGGAGGGTATCGTGGCACGAACATGATGCGCTGGCAGGTCATTCCACCGCCTTCTCGATGGTTCGGGTGAAATGCAGCTGCCTGCCACCGCATGGTACCCTGATTGGGCCGCATGGCAACATTCACGTCAGCGCTGGCAGATTCCCTGCTCCTGGACGTGGTCTGTGCGGTCGGGAATCGAATCGCGGTGGGTTTCGGCGGGATTTCATGCATTTCCTCCAGCGCACGTTACACAACTGTGTTCGCCTTACTGAGGGCTTCGATTTGGTACCCTAAAATAACAAAAACATTTTTTACCATGATATAAGCGCCGGCGCTTATGGCCGTGACTCAATTACAAGCGCCCCCCCCTAAAAAAACCGGTTTTATTATAAGCGCAGATGCGCCTATATCCGGGGTAATACGGTATTATGGTAGAACTTGTCCCTGTTGAGGTACACCATTTTTTTAGAATGGTTGATCTCTAACCCTGTCCATCAATACAAAGTACAGCAACAGGAAACAGGAGCAGTTTGAAGTCTGAATATGCATAACAAGATCTTATGCTTGGCAAAAGCTTAACAAGTAACCATTATCAAACAATAAAGAAGGCAGCCAGACAAGGATACCTAGCGAATCCTTGGCTCACTACCAACTAGTTTAATAACTCAAACCACCTTGTCTTTTCAGGCTTGCAGCAGACAAAGCATATCCTTGGCTCGCCTACACCTGGGCAGTGCCTGCAGTGAAGTCTGGGTTCTCGCACTTGTAGGTGCCATCAATTCCAATTCCGAAGCCCCTCGGGTCAGCAAACACATTCTCCAGCAGCTGGTGGCGCTCTGGCAGCGGGCTCTCATCAGCAAACTCAACAGCATCCTCCACAACATCATCAATCTTCTTCTCAATTGCCTGAAAGAAAAAGAAACGGGTGCACACACAAATACTAGGATGATGAACACCGACAGAACCTGGGATATCCAACTGCTAACCACATAAAACAAGTCCCATGCTCATAAGCAACTTCAGAGTCATTGGCAGTGGGTTTTGGAGAACCTCTGTGAATCTCACAACTGGGCTGCTGTTGCCAGGATAATTGGACCTTCATGAGAGGGGGTGCAATTCTAGAAGCTTAGTGCTAATGAACCCATTCATACACTCACATCTGAAACCGTACACGCATCCTCCAGAGTGAGGTAACCATGCTTAAACCCCAGGATAATAAACCACGTTGTTTTTTATGCTAGCTAGATCGTTGCATTACCGTTTCATTCACCGGCATGACGCATGGGATGGGAAAATGAAGACACAGGTGTCTGACCAGGCAACCAAACTGAGCAAGAGCCCGTGCAGCTCGCAACCAGAAGCGTGCATACAGTTGCAACCTAATGCACAATGGATTGATTGTCCATGACAGTCACCATCGAAGGTGAAATGCAGCCAGCCCCAGCCTGCTCTACCCTGCACTACACTCGATTCTCTCACCTCCAGTTCAGCCTCGGAAGCGAGCGCCGTTCCCAGAATGATGGGGTCGCGCACGGCGTATTTGGGAAAAAATTCTAGTCACTGACCTTGAGTTCGGCATCGGAGGCGAGCCCCGCCTCCAGGATGTGCTTCTTCAGCGCGATGATGGGGTCGCGCGCGGCGTACTTGGCCTTCTCCTCTGCGCGATTACGGGAGGAGCGGCGGGGGCGACGATGGGGGAAGGGAGAAGAGGAGAAGCGGCGGGATTGCGGGAGGAAAAAAAAGGGAGGAATAAAGAGGAGTTGAGAAAAATAGGTGGGCATCCCGGAGGGGAGTCTGGGGATTCTAAAGAAAGGAAAACGATAAGATTGTTAGGCGCCTCCTCTTGGATGCTGTCTTTCACTTGATCACCAGCTGGAGTGGGTAACACACTGGAGACACAGAGCTAACTCACTAGGGGACAGCGCCGGAGTATCTTACCAGGGGAGCGAAGCTCATCGGGGTCGGCCAGGGAGTGACCGCGGAAGCGGTACGTCTCGCACTCGATGAGCGTCGGGCCGTCGCCCCGCCTGGCGCGCTCAATGGCCTCCAGCGCGACCTCGCGCACCTTGAGCACATCCATGCCGTCCACGTGGACTCCGGGCATGCCGAACGCGGGGCCCTTCTTCCAGATGGCGGGATCTGACGTGGAGCGCAGGTGGCTCATGCCGATGGCCCACAGGTTGTTCTCCACCACGAAGATGACTGGAAGCTTCCAGAGCGCAGCCATGTTGAGGCACTCGTAGAAGGAGCCGTTGTTGCACGTGCCGTCGCCGAAGAAGGCCACTGCAGCCGAACAGGATGTAACAAACATCACACGCGGATAAAAAAACGATAAGAACACAGACGAAGAGTGAAATCACCGTGCGACCTAGTGACTTCGCTTTTCGACTGCCGTACATTCTTATATGCGATATCACAGTCCGCGGAACGAGTGACCGCACCTGAAACCTGGTCCGCGTCTTGCTTGAGCACCTCCTTGTTGTACTTCACGGCGAAAGCAGCGCCGACGGCGACGGGAATGCCCTCGCCGATGAAGGCGAAGCCGCCGAGCAGGCCCTGCTCCTTGGAGAACATGTGCATGGAGCCGCCCTGCCCGCGACTGCACCCCGTCGTCTTGCCGTACAGCTCAGCCATCACCTCGCGTGCTGGCACGCCCTTGCTCAGCGCGTGCACGTGGTCACGGTATGTGCTGGAGCGGGGGAAACGGAGGAGTTGAGGTAGGGTCGGGGGACCGGGGTAGGGGAAAGGAAAAAGGGGTTAAGGGAAGCGTTCTTTCGAAATAATTCCATCAGGCCAATGTTCGGGAAGATGACAAGAAGTCGCCACAGAATGCTAGCGACACATTAGATGGTACGGCGGCTGCAAATGCGATGCATGTTACCTGGTAACATAGTCGTCCTTTCGCAGGTATTTGATGACACCGGAAGAGACGGCCTCTTGACCGTTGTACAGGTGAACGAAGCCGAACATCTTCCCGCGGTAATACATCTGAGCGCACATGTCCTCGAAGGTGCGTCCCAGCACCATGTCTTCGTACAGCATCAGCGCCTCATCGCGCGAGAGATCCTGGTCAAGCAATTAGTGAGGTCACAGAGAGGCAGTGCGGATACACCAAGATGAAACGAATGTTACAACAAACGGCAGTGCTAGAAAATGACGAGATTCGCGAGTCACTACACAGTGAAAAGGTGCTCAGAGAAGCTCTTTCCCTGCCGGTTTAGAAAACAATGCTAAAAAGCTCTACTCGGAGGACTGAAATCTTCTTACAACCAGATAGCGTAATCGCAGGGTTTTTGAAAGGTACTGTTCAACAATGGATTCACATGGATATTTTGCTTCTTGAATGAATACTAACCGGCACGACGTAGGTGGATGTTGAAGGATCGGCAGTAGCAGTGGCACGCGCAGCACCAGCCTTCCAGTTCCCCTTCACCTGCACGGCCTTAACAGCCTTTTTGGGAACTCGCGATCCCAGAAACCGGCTGGACAGCGGCGCAGCAGCACCAGTGCTGACAGCAGACCTGGTAGTAGATGTGGTTTGCCGAGCAGAATCTGCTGGTAGGGTGCAAGCCCTAACAGCCGGAGCAGCAGCAAGAGCCATGACGGATCGGAGTCACGTTTCCGAGCTCAGAAACCCAACTCTCAGTAACCAAGGGAATCCCGACTCGCGACTCAAGCTGGAATGTAGATCGGAATGTCCAGCTACAGAAATGGCTACTCAGGCCTCTGTCAGTTTGATCTGATGATATCAGAGCAGACCCCAATCCAGGAGACTGCAGAGAATGGCTGATCTGGACACACACGCCTGAATGCTAGTCATAGACTCACTGCTACTGGAGCTGAATTGACAAATGAAAGAATGGGGTCCGTAAACTGGATTCGCGACGAACCTGTGTCTTGAACGGTTGCGATGAAATTTCAAGTCAGCCTCGACGTTTTCGAGGCGGACATAGCCGTCGATCTACAGCTTAGAGGTTGCTCTTGTGACGTGAGTGGCGGTTAGGATCTCGATGTGAACGAAACCTTTCACCATGCTGCTTTTGCGGCAAGCGGTGAAGAGCTGGATGTTCTTCGTTACAAGATTGGGTGCGCTGCTTGCCACTAGTTACAGCCTAACGCGTCAGACATTGCCACCTGTACGGTCGAGCGTGCAGAAGGTGATATATTGTCATCCCCGTCTCGTAACGCTGAGGTGGAGAGATTGGCTTTCAGATGCAATGACCAATTCGGAAGCAACTGACACGTGGTTCCACGAACGTATTTTGCGCGCAGAAAAGGTGGGAGAAAGGTCATCTCACACACGCGGCACGAACGAACCCCCCTCTGTGTCGTCTCGTCATGTTGACCCGCGCAGGAATGATGCTGGGTTGTGTTGTGACTGAGCAGATTTTCCCCCTAGCACCCTAATCAACCGTTTTAAATCTCAAGTCAATAGTAGCCTGATTTGTCAAGGCCGCTATATTCAGGATAAAGGGGTTGCTACTCCAAAGCGGCAGTCACCTCCATACTGGTATGGTATGGTATGGGGTTCCTCCATCACAACACACTTCTGCACACCTACCAGGAGCACCTTATATCTGAAGTAGATTACTTCAATTGAGCCCCTATTACAAATTTCACCTCATGTTCTCGTGTTTCTTCTACTCGTAGACGCGCATGTAAGTTACGGTAGTAATTGCAATCTTTCATTCACCCTGCAAGTTACGAAGCATTGAACAACAATCACGATACATTGCAATACATATCCAGCAAATCAGAGTCAGGCCCATAAACAAATCCAGCAGCTGCAGGAACAGAAGCATTCGGCTTGCAGACTCCGGTTCCCGAACATAGCGTTCCCGAACCATCCGCCGAACCACATATTGCACATGACAATGTGTCTCTTTGAAAAGGGCCTGCTGATGTGCAGTTGTTGGCTTGCGTGAAACAATTGTACAGTGCACTGCAATATGTGAGTTTATTGGAGGGAAACGTTCCGTAGATATAACTTTGCTCGAAGGACAGGTAAGCCAAAGAAGTGGAGATGGCTGGAAGAGTGCCGGTCAGACAGTTGAAGTTCAGATTCCTACAAGGAAAAGGGGTGACAAACAATGCCGCCAGATACACACATTAGAAATTGTGTACACAATGTTACGGAATTAGGTGCAGTGCACCGAAGTGGACATGGTATACACGTGCAAAAGCATCAAAGCCATGTGGTGCGTGTGGTGATGCACATGGTATGGTTACATAGGGCAATGAGGCACATATTGATGAGGCACATAGCGATGAGGCACATAGCGATGAGGCACATGGTGGTAGCAGTTGCTGACAAGAAAAGACTCACAGCTTTGTGAGGCGAGGCAGTGACAGAAGGGCAGCTGGCATGGAGCCATAGAGCCAGATGTGCTGTAACTGACTGGACATTTGAGAGGCTTCAGGAGGAGGCAGGATACTCGGTGGTTGGTTTGAGAGGAGGAGACTCACAGCCTTGTGAGGCGAGGTAGTGAGAGAAGGACAGATGGAATGGACCCGTAGAGCCAGTTGTACTGCAGCTGACTGGAGCGGGATGGACAATACAGCGCATGCCAACATGTATGTCAATGCTGGTCAACGTGAGTCAATGCAGGTCAATGGGAGTCATCGCTGGTCGATAAGAATCTGTGGCGCAGGATCAAACTATCTAGAGCACTTCAAGGCGTGGTGGTCAATGCGGGCACTCACAGCACGATGCGGTTGGTGAAGGAGGGAAGTGAGATTCCTTACCTAGCGTGCGTATCGATAGATAGAAAGGCTGATAACGTTGAATATGCAGATTTTACATGGCATGGCATGGCATGGCATGGGACGCTCACATTGTCTTGAGGTTGGTGAGGGTGGAGAGGGGGGAGACTATGCTTCTGAGCATATATTGAGGCACCTCAAAAGGCATGGCACACGCACAGAGTCTTGAGGTTGGTGAGGGTGGAGAGGGGGGAGACTATGCTTCTGAGTGGCGTCCAGAAGAGGTTGGCATGGAGGCTCCTGCGGGAAGGATGAAAAACGTTCTATGAGATTAAGGGTTAACTGCCGTGCTGTTAAAACATTCTATGAGTATATGGATAAGCGGCGGACTGCACATAGCTGGGTGTCACATGCATAGGTGCATGGCATGCACATGCATGGTGTACATGCATAGGTGCATGACATGCACATGCATGGGTGCATGGCATGCATGCACATGCAGGCATACGCATGTGTGAGAGTAGTGAGCTTGCTGATGTCTGAATGAAGGGACAAAGTCAGCTGCTGATAGCTGACTGTTGAGTAGTGAGTGGGTAGTGTGCGGCAGGCAGTGAGCAGTGAGCAGTGAGCAGTAAGAAGTGAACATACAGTCAGAGAGGCTTACAGGTGAGTGAGAGTGGTGAGCTTGCTGATGTCCGAATGAAGGGACCCGTTCAGCTGCTGATAGCTCAAGTCCCTGCCAGGGCGGAGGGCAGGGAGGTGGAGGGCAGGGAGGTGGAGGGAGAGGTGTTGGCAGATCTCTAATTTTGAGACACACAGCCGCAGGGGAGAGACTTGATGAGAATGATCGAACCCCCTCACCTGCTGATAGCTCTCAAGTCCCCGCCACGGCGGAGGGGAGGGGGTGGATGGGTGAAGAGTAAGAAGTTTTTGAAATTGCTTCATAGCAGAAAAACGATTAGAACAAGAGTGGAGTGGGGAGGAGTGGAGAGAACAGGGTCTTCAGGGGAGTGGCAGGTCGCGTGGTTTAGGTAGGGGGCATGCTTACAGGTATGTCACATTCCCCGTGGCGTCACAGCGCACGCCCGACCACGTCAGGCCGGGCCACGGGTCGGTGCCGTCAATGGCACAGGGCACGCTTAGAGGTAGGGGGCATGTTTACAGGTAAGTGACATTGCCCGTGGCGTCACAGCGCACGCCCGTCCATGTCAGGCCGGGCCAGGGGTTGGCAGTGGTGGGAGGTAGGTCAGACAATTCCCACCAAGGGCGCACTCACAGGTAAGTGACATTGCCTGTGGGTGGCATTGCACTCACAAGTAGGTAATGTTCCCCGTGGCGTCACAGCGCACGCCTGACCATGTGAGGCCAGGCCAGGGGTTGGTGCCGTCAATGGCACACGGCACGGTTGTGACCCATGTCGTGTGGGTCACCCCGAGGGATGACTTGAGAGCAAGGAGGGTGGATGCTGCGTGGGTGGGGGGGAAGGAGGAAGGCGGAAGGGAGTGGAACGGAAAGGGAAAGGGATGAATGGCACAGGGCATGCCTGGGAGCCATGTTGTGTGGGTCAGTCCGAGGGTTGACTTGGGAGCAAGGAGGGTAGATGCTGACAGGAAGAAGAAGAGGCACCCATAGCACATGCATGAAGAGGGGCAGTCTAGTGGGGCAGTCTAGTGGGGCAGTGGGGAGTGGCAGTGGGGAATGGCAGAGGGGAAGAGGAATACTCACAGGAGGAGGAGCGGATGGTAACGACTGATGAGCCTGATGGGAAAAAGCAGAGGCACAAGCAGAGGAACAAGCAGAGGCACGCATGGCAAATAGGCAAGGGAAAGAAGGGAAGCATGATGAGGAGCCGATTGCACCGAGTGACAGCAGGAGCGGGACGGGAGACACATGGGAAGGAGAGCGAGGAGAACTCATAGCTTTATGAATGGTTGCTTTGAACGTGCACCAGCAAGGCCATCAGTGGGAACAGCTGGGCGCGTGGTCACACGCGACGAGAAAGGGGTGAGAGTGATCACACACGCTGCACACGCGCTGCACACACACGCGCTGCACACACACGCGCTGCACACACACGCGCTGCACACACACGCGCTGCACACACACGCGCTGCACACACACGCGCTGCACACACACGCACTGCACACACACGCACTGCACACACACGCGTTGCACACACACGCGTTGCACACACACGCGCTGCACACACACGCGCTGCACACACACGCGCTGCACACACACGCGCTGCACACACACGCGCTGCACACACACGCGCTGCACACACACGCGCTGCACACACACGCGCTGCACACACACGCGCTGCACACACACGCGCTGCACACACACGCACTGCACACACACGCGCTGCACACACACGCGTTGCACACACACGCGTTGCACACACACGCGTTGCACACACACGCGCTGCACACACACGCGCTGCACACACACGCGCTGCACACACACGCGCTGCACACACACGCGCTGCACACACACGCGCTGCACACACACGCGCTGCACACACACGCGCTGCACACACACGCGCTGCACACACACGCGCTGCACACACACGCGTTGCACACACACGCGTTGCACACACACGCGTTGCACACACACGCGCTGCACACACACGCGCTGCACACACACGCGCTGCACACACACGCGCTGCACACACACGCGCTGCACACACACGCGCTGCACACACACGCGCTGCACACACACGCGCTGCACACACACGCGCTGCACACACACGCGCTGCACACACACGCGTTGCACACACACGCGCTGCACACACACGCGCTGCACACACACGCGCTGCACACACACGCGCTGCACACACACGCGCTGCACACACACGCGTTGCACACACACGCGTTGCACACACACGCGTTGCACACACACGCGCTGCACACACACGCGCTGCACACACACGCGCTGCACACACACGCGCTGCACACACACGCGCTGCACACACACGCGCTGCACACACACGCGCTGCACACACACGCGCTGCACACACACGCGTTGCACACACACGCGTTGCACACACACGCGTTGCACACACACGCGCTGCACACACACGCGCTGCACACACACGCGCTGCACACACACGCGCTGCACACACACGCGCTGCACACACACGCGCTGCACACACACGCGCTGCACACACACGCACTGCACACACACGCGCTGCACACACACGCGCTGCACACACACGCGTTGCACACACACGCGTTGCACACACACGCTTTGCACACACACGCGTTGCACACACACGCGCTGCACACACACTCGCTGCACACACACGCGCTGAACACACACGCGCTGCACACACACGCGCTGCACACACGCGCTGCACACACACGCGCTGCACACACACGCGCTGCACACACATGCGCTGCACACACACGCGCTGCACACATGCGCAGCACACACGCGCTGCACACACGCGTTGGCGGATATCCTTGGCGGATATCCTTGCCGGATATCCTTGGCGGATATCCTTGCCGGATATCCTTGGCGGATATCCTTGGCGGATATCCTTGCCGGATATCCTTGCCGGATATCCTTGGCGGATATCCTTGGCGGATATCCTTGCCGCGGATATCCTTGCCGGATATCCTTGCCGCGGATATCCGTGGCGGATATCCTTGCCGCGGATATCCTTGGCGGATATCCTTGGCGGATATCCTTGGCGGATATCCTTGGCGGATATCCTTGCGGATATACTTGGCGGATATCCTTGGCGGATATCCTTGGCGGATATCCTTGCCGGATATCCTTGGCGGATATCCTTGGCGGATATCCTTGATGGATATCCGTGGCGGATATCCTTGCCGCGGATATCCTTGGCGGATATCCTTGCCGCCGCGGATATCCTTGCCGCGGATATCCTTGGCGGATATCCTTGGCGGATATCCTTGCCGGATATCCTTGCCGGATATCCTTGGCGGATATCCTTGGCGGATATCCTTGGCGGATATCCTTGCAACGGATATCCTTGGCGGATATCCTTGGCGGATATCCTTGGCGGATATCCTTGCCGCGGATATCTTTGGCGGATATCCTTGCCGCGGATATCTTTGGCGGATATCCTTGCCGGATATCCTTGGCGGATATCCTTGGCGGATATCCTTGATGGATATCCTTGCCGCGGATATCCTTGGCGGATATCCTTGGCGGATATCCTTGCCGCGGATATCCTTGGCGGATATCCTTGGCGGATATCCTTGGCGGATATCCTTGGCGGATATCCTTGGCGGATATCCTTGGCGGATATCCTTGGCGGATATCCTTGGCGGATATCCTTGGCGGATATCCTTGACGGATATCCTTGCTGGATATCCTTGCCGCGGATATCCTTGGCGGTTATCCTTGCCGCGGATATCCTTGGCGGATATCCTTGGCGGATATCCTTGCCGGATATCCTTGCCGGATATCCTTGGCGGATATCCTTGGCGGATATCCTTGGCGGATATCCTTGGCGGATATCCTTGCCGCGGATATCCTTGGCGGATATCCTTGGCGGATATCCTTGGCGGATATCCTTGGCGGATATCCTTGGCGGATATCCTTGGCGGATTTCCTTGGCGTATATCCTTGGCGGATATCCTTGGCGGATATCCTTGCCGGATATCCTTGGCGTATATCCTTGCCGGATATCCTTGGCGGATATCCTTGGCGGATATCCTTGGCGGATATCCTTGCCGGATATCCTTGGCGGATATCCTTGCCACGGATATCCTTGACGGATATCCTTGAGCGGATATCCTTGGCGGATATCCTTGGCGGATATCCTTGGCGGATATCCTTGGCGGATATCCTTGGCGGATATCCTTGGCGGATATCCTTGGCGGATATCCTTGGCGGATATCTTTGGCGGATATCCTTGCCACGGATATCCTTGACGGATATCCTTGAGCGGATATCCTTGGCGGATATCCTTGGCGGATATCCTTGGCGGATATCCTTGCAACGGATATCCTTGGCGGATATCCTTGGCGGATATCCTTGGCGGATATCCTTGGCGGATATCCTTGCGCATATCCTTGGCGGATATCCTTGCCGCGGATATCCTTGGCGGATATCCTTGGCGGATATCCTTGGCGCGGATCCTTGACGGATATCCTTGGCGCATATCCTTGGTGGATATCCTTGGCGGATATCCTTGCCGGATATCCTTGCCGCGGATATCCTTGGCGGATATCCTTGCGCATATCCTTGGCGGATATCCTTGCCGCGGATATCCTCGGCGGATATCCTTGGCGGATATCCTTGCCGGATATCCTTGCCGGATATCCTTGGCGGATATCCTTGGCGGATATCCTTGGCGGATATCCTTGCCGGATATCCTTGCCGCGGATATCCTTGGCGGATATCCTTGGCGGATATCCTTGGCGGATATCCTTGGCGGATATCCTTGGCGGATATCACTGGCGGATATCCTTGCCGCGGATATCCTTGGCGGATATCCTTGGCGGATATCCTTGGCGGATATCCTTGGCGGATTTCCTTGGCGTATATCCTTGGCGGATATCCTTGGCGGATATCCTTGCCGGATATCCTTGGCGTATATCCTTGCCGGATATCCTTGGCGGATATCCTTGGCGGATATCCTTGGCGGATATCCTTGCCGGATATCTTTGGCGGATATCCTTGCCACGGATATCCTTGACGGATATCCTTGAGCGGATATCCTTGGCGGATATCCTTGGCGGATATCCTTGGCGGATATCCTTGCCGGATATCCTTGGCGTATATCCTTGGCGGATATCCTTGGCGGATATCTTTGGCGGATATCCTTGCCACGGATATCCTTGACGGATATCCTTGAGCGGATATCCTTGGCGGATATCCTTGGCGGATATCCTTGCAACGGATATCCTTGGCGGATATCCTTGGCGGATATCCTTGGCGGATATCCTTGGCGGATATCCTTGCGCATATCCTTGGCGGATATCCTTGCCGCGGATATCCTTGGCGGATATCCTTGGCGGATATCCTTGGCGCGGATCCTTGACGGATATCCTTGGCGCATATCCTTGGTGGATATCCTTGGCGGATATCCTTGCCGGATATCCTTGCCGCGGATATCCTTGGCGGATATCCTTGCGCATATCCTTGGCGGATATCCTTGCCGCGGATATCCTCGGCGGATATCCTTGGCGGATATCCTTGCCGGATATCCTTGCCGGATATCCTTGGCGGATATCCTTGGCGGATATCCTTGGCGGATATCCTTGGCGGATATCCTTGCCGCGGATATCCTTGGCGGATATCCTTGGCGGATATCCTTGGCGGATATCCTTGGCGGATTTCCTTGGCGTATATCCTTGGCGGATATCCTTGGCGGATATCCTTGCCGGATATCCTTGGCGTATATCCTTGCCGGATATCCTTGGCGGATATCCTTGGCGGATATCCTTGGCGGATATCCTTGCCGGATATCTTTGGCGGATATCCTTGCCACGGATATCCTTGACGGATATCCTTGAGCGGATATCCTTGGCGGATATCCTTGGCGGATATCCTTGCCGGATATCCTTGCCGGATATCCTTGGCGTATATCCTTGGCGGATATCCTTGGCGGATATCTTTGGCGGATATCCTTGCCACGGATATCCTTGACGGATATCCTTGAGCGGATATCCTTGGCGGATATCCTTGGCGGATATCCTTGGCGGATATCCTTGCAACGGATATCCTTGGCGGATATCCTTGGCGGATATCCTTGGCGGATATCCTTGGCGGATATCCTTGCGCATATCCTTGGCGGATATCCTTGCCGCGGATATCCTTGGCGGATATCCTTGGCGGATATCCTTGGCGCGGATCCTTGACGGATATCCTTGGCGCATATCCTTGGTGGATATCCTTGGCGGATATCCTTGCCGGATATCCTTGCCGCGGATATCCTTGGCGGATATCCTTGGCGGATATCCTTGGCGGATATCCTTGCCGCGGATATCCTCGGCGGATATCCTTGGCGGATATCCTTGCCGGATATCCTTGCCGGATATCCTTGGCGGATATCCTTGGCGGATATCCTTGGCGGATATCCTTGGCGGATATCCTTGCAACGGATATCCTTGGCGGATATCCTTGGCGGATATCCTTGGCGGATATCCTTGGCGGATATCCTTGGCGGATATCCTTGGCGGATATCCTTGGCGGATATCCTTGGCGGATATCCTTGGCGGATATCCTTGCCGCGGATATCCTTGCCGGATATCCTTGGCGGATATCCTTGGCGGATATCCTTGGCGGATATCCTTGGCGGATATCCTTGGCGGATATCCTTGGCGGATATCCTTGGCGGATATCCTTGCCGGATATCCTTGCCGGATATCCTTGAAAACACGCGTTGCACACACGCGTTGCACACAGGCGTTGCACACATGCTGTACCCACGCTGCACACACGCTGCACCCACAGCATCCCATTACACGCCTGCCATTCTCTCAGAGCCTCAAATATACGCACCAACGCAGGTCATGTGAGCACGTGAGCCTCTAATATGGGCCGAAAACAACGCAGGTCATGGCAAGAATGGGGCGCGTGGGCCCGTTGGGAATGTTCTGAGAGGCAGCTGCTGCAGCGCCTGCTGTGCACACACCATCCAAAGACACAATCCCCATTCCTGAAGAGCCTAGATTTTACCCACCAACGCAAGACATGGCAAGAATGGGGCGCGTGGGCCCATTGGGAATGTTCTGAGAGGCAGCTGCTGCAGCGCCTGCTGTGCACACACCATCCAAAGACACAATCCCCATTCCTGAAGAGCCTAGATTTTACCCACCAACGCAAGACATGGCAAGAATGGGGCGCGTGGGCCCGTTGGGAATGCCCTGGGAATGCCCTGGGAATGCCCTGGGAATGCCTTGGGTATAGCTGCAGCGTCTGCTGTGCACACACCGTCCCAGCACAAAACCCCCATGCTCGACAGACTCAGACATATACGCACCAACACAAGACATGGCAAGAATGGGCCGCGTGGGTCCATTGGGGATGCCCTGAGAGGCAGCAGCTGCAGCGTCTGCTGTGCACACACCGTCCCAGCACACACTCCCTACTGCTGCATCGCCCATCCCACACACCGCACACTCCGCTGCTGCCCTCTGCTTCGTTCCGTAGAAATTGCACGAGGAGGAGGAGGGGGAGGAGGAGGAGAAGCAGTTGTTTTCCGCGGCGCAGAATTTGAGGGAGTGTGGGGGGAGAGAGCCGGAGAGGAAGTTGTAAGCAACGTCTAGGCCCACGAGGGATGAGGGGATGGGAGGGATGGTGCCCGTGAGATAGTTGGAGAAGAGACCCCTGGGGTGGAGGGAGGGAAAACAAAGAGGGGAAAAGAAGGGCATACGACACCTCAGCTGCTGCTCTCCCCTCAGCTAACAGCCTAACACACGACATGCTGATGAGGTGAGGAGGAGGCCTTTGGTGCAGGGAAGTGAGAACGGAATGTGAGAACTGTTTGATTTTTCAAACTGAGACCAGGCGAGCTCTTGGACCAGGGGAGCACTTGGACCAGGGGAGCTCTTGGACCAGGGGAGCTCTTGGACCAGGGGAGCTCTTGGACAAGAGGTGATCTTTGAGTCGCCTCATAAACGAGGCGGGCACTTGCGACCGGACACGCACTTGGGAGCAGGGTTTAGAGTGATGGACGGCGTCACTTACAGGCCTGTGAGTGATGGTAGGGCAAGGAGTGACGATGGGATAGAGCCGATGAACCAGTTATAGTGAAGGAACCTGTAACGAGTACAGGGGAGGGACACAAATGCGTAAAAGACAACTGTAATGTGCTCAGTGCTCACTAAGACTCACAGGAACTACACTAGAAAATTCTCTGAAGTTCCGGACCATTGAGTCGACTCAAAGGTCCCTGACTTGTTGTGGGAGAACAAGGCAGTGAGGAGAGATGCTAATGTGACATCTGAGACGCGTCAGAATGGAGAATGTGAGGGTGAATATGTCCCTGAGTTGTGGGACAACAAGGCAGTGAGGAGAAAGCTTATAGGCCACCCCTCAATGGAACAGTCACAGCACTCGTCGCACACACACACACATAGAGCACAGAACCTCTGCCTTGGTAGGATCAAACACTCACAGGTCTTTGAGGGACGACAAGGCAGTGAGGGAAGAGACGAATGTGAGGAGTCGCGCCTGAAAGAGGTTGTAACCGAGGTCCCTGGGGGTGGTGTGGGTGGGAGAGGATGAAAATTGGGTGGCTTGAAGAAAGCGAATGGGAAGAGAGGCGCATGGGAAGAGAGGCGCATGGGAAGAGAGGCGCATGGGAAGAGAGGCGCATGGGAAGAGAGGCGCATGGGAAGAGAGGCGCATGGGAAGAGAGGCGCATGGGAAGAGAGGCGCATGGGAAGAGAGGCGCATGTGAAGAGAGGCGCATGTGAAGAGAGGCGCATGTGAAGAGAGGCGCATGTGAAGAGAGGCGCATGTGAAGAGAGGCGCATGTGAAGAGAGGCGCATGTGAAGAGAGGCGCATGTGAAGAGAGGCGCATGTGAAGAGAGGCGCATGGGAAGAGAGGCGCATGTGAAGAGAGGCGCATGTGAAGAGAGGCGCATGTGAAGAGAGGCGCATGTGAAGAGAGGCGCATGTGAAGAGAGGCGCATGTGAAGAGAGGCGCATGTGAAGAGAGGCGCATGTGAAGAGAGGCGCATGTGAAGAGAGGCGCATGTGAAGAGAGGCGCATGTGAAGAGAGGCGCATGTGAAGAGAGGCGCATGTGAAGAGAGGCGCATGTGAAGAGAGGCGCATGTGAAGAGAGGCGCATGTGAAGAGAGGCGCATGTGAAGAGAGGCGCATGTGAAGAGAGGCGCATGTGAAGAGAGGCGCATGTGAAGAGAGGCGCATGTGAAGAGAGGCGCATGTGAAGAGAGGCGCATGTGAAGAGAGGCGCATGTGAAGAGAGGCGCATGTGAAGAGAGGCGCATGTGAAGAGAGGCGCATGTGAAGAGAGGCGCATGTGAAGAGAGGCGCATGTGAAGAGAGGCGCATGTGAAGAGAGGCGCATGTGAAGAGAGGCGCATGTGAAGAGAGGCGCATGTGAAGAGAGGCGCATGTGAAGAGAGGCGCATGTGAAGAGAGGCGCATGTGAAGAGAGGCGCATGTGAAGAGAGGCGCATGTGAAGAGAGGCGCATGTGAAGAGAGGCGCATGTGAAGAGAGCGAATGTGAAGAGAGGCGCATGTGAAGAGAGGCGCATGTGAAGAGAGGCGCATGTGAAGAGAGGCGCATGTGAAGAGAGGCGCATGTGAAGAGAGGCGCATGTGAAGAGAGGCGCATGTGAAGAGAGGCGCATGTGAAGAGAGGCGCATGTGAAGAGAGGCGCATGTGAAGAGAGGCGCATGTGAAGAGAGGCGCATGTGAAGAGAGGCGCATGTGAAGAGAGGCGCATGTGAAGAGAGGCGCATGTGAAGAGAGGCGCATGTGAAGAGAGGCGCATGTGAAGAGAGCGAATGTGAAGAGAGGCGCATGTGAAGAGAGGCGCATGTGAAGAGAGGCGCATGTGAAGAGAGGCGCATGTGAAGAGAGGCGCATGTGAAGAGAGGCGCATGTGAAGAGAGGCGCATGTGAAGAGAGGCGCATGTGAAGAGAGGCGCATGTGAAGAGAGGCGCATGTGAAGAGAGGCGCATGTGAAGAGAGGCGCATGTGAAGAGAGGCGCATGTGAAGAGAGGCGCATGTGAAGAGAGGCGCATGTGAAGAGAGGCGCATGTGAAGAGAGGCGCATGTGAAGAGAGGCGCATGTGAAGAGAGGCGCATGTGAAGAGAGGCGCATGTGAAGAGAGGCGCATGTGAAGAGAGGCGCATGTGAAGAGAGGCGCATGTGAAGAGAGGCGCATGTGAAGAGAGGCGCATGTGAAGAGAGGCGCATGTGAAGAGAGGCGCATGTGAAGAGAGGCGCATGTGAAGAGAGGCGCATGTGAAGAGAGGCGCATGTGAAGAGAGGCGCATGTGAAGAGAGGCGCATGTGAAGAGAGGCGCATGTGAAGAGAGGCGCATGTGAAGAGAGGCGCATGTGAAGAGAGCGAATGTGAAGAGAGGCGCATGTGAAGAGAGGCGCATGTGAAGAGAGGCGCATGTGAAGAGAGGCGCATGTGAAGAGAGGCGCATGTGAAGAGAGGCGCATGTGAAGAGAGGCGCATGTGAAGAGAGGCGCATGTGAAGAGAGGCGCATGTGAAGAGAGGCGCATGTGAAGAGAGGCGCATGTGAAGAGAGGCGCATGTGAAGAGAGGCGCATGTGAAGAGAGGCGCATGTGAAGAGAGGCGCATGTGAAGAGAGGCGCATGTGAAGAGAGGCGCATGTGAAGAGAGGCGCATGTGAAGAGAGGCGCATGTGAAGAGAGGCGCATGTGAAGAGAGGCGCATGTGAAGAGAGGCGCATGTGAAGAGAGGCGCATGTGAAGAGAGGCGCATGTGAAGAGAGGCGCATGTGAAGAGAGGCGCATGTGAAGAGAGCGAATGTGAAGAGAGGCGCATGTGAAGAGAGGCGCATGTGAAGAGAGGCGCATGTGAAGAGAGGCGCATGTGAAGAGAGGCGCATGTGAAGAGAGGCGCATGTGAAGAGAGGCGCATGTGAAGAGAGGCGCATGTGAAGAGAGGCGCATGTGAAGAGAGGCGCATGTGAAGAGAGGCGCATGTGAAGAGAGGCGCATGTGAAGAGAGGCGCATGTGAAGAGAGGCGCATGTGAAGAGAGGCGCATGTGAAGAGAGGCGCATGTGAAGAGAGGCGCATGTGAAGAGAGGCGCATGTGAAGAGAGGCGCATGTGAAGAGAGGCGCATGTGAAGAGAGGCGCATGTGAAGAGAGGCGCATGTGAAGAGAGGCGCATATGAAGAGAGGCGCATGTGAAGAGAGGCGCATGTGAAGAGAGGCGCATGTGAAGAGAGGCGCATGTGAAGAGAGGCGCATGTGAAGAGAGGCGCATGTGAAGAGAGGCGCATGGGAAGAGAGGCGCATGTGAAGAGAGGCGCATGTGAAGAGAGGCGCATGTGAAGAGAGGCGCATGTGAAGAGAGGCGCATGGGAAGAGAGGCGCATGTGAAGAGAGGCGCATGTGAAGAGAGGCGCATGTGAAGAGAGGCGCATGGGAAGAGAGGCGCATGTGAAGAGAGGCGCATGTGAAGAGAGGCGCATGTGAAGAGAGGCGCATGTGAAGAGAGGCGCATGGGAAGAGAGGCGCATGTGAAGAGAGGCGCATGTGAAGAGAGGCGCATGGGAAGAGAGGCGCATGTGAAGAGAGGCGCATGTGAAGAGAGGCGCATGTGAAGAGAGGCGCATGGGAAGAGAGGCGCATGGGAAGAGAGGCGCATGGGAAGAGGCGTGCTTGTAAGAGGTCTTACCACAGGTGCCTGCGGGTGGCATGGGGGAGGATGGAAAACAAGAGATGAGAGTCAGGCAGTGAGGGGCGAGACGAATGCGAGGACTTCACCGCACGCTCATACATAGTACACGTGTGCGCAAGCATGCATGTGTCTAAGCAAATGTTTGTATAGACACATGCGCATGCATGTAGACGCACATGCGCATGCATGTATAGGCACATGCACACAACATACATGTATGTGAGTGCCGTCAAATGCATCCATGCTTGCTGAAGTCGTCTGACAGTCCACATGCACACAACATACATACATAGGGATCAATGTTCATCGTGGAGTAGCTGCAAACCTGTAAAAGACTCTTAAGCAAAAGGATCAAGACAGAAACATTGCTCCATGCTTGCTGAAGTTGTCTGGCAGTCCACATGCACACAACATACATAGATGTATGTGAGTGCCGTCATTTTGGAGATACTCGAATGGATGGTTCCGATGAGCCTTGGGGATGCATACATACATACATACATACACGCATGCATCCACGGGCATGAACGCAACATACATGTATGTGAGTGCCGTCAATTTGGAGATGCTCGAATGGACGGTCCCGATGAGGCCCTGGCGATTGAGATTGCTGTGGTGCGGTGCGGTGCGGTGCGGTGCATGGGAGTGGTATGGATGCATTATGCAAGGGGAGAGAAGGGGTTGTGGGGGAAAGATTCAGCCGAAGCAGCAGGCATTGGAGATGTTTGAATGGACGGTTCCGATTAGGCCATGGCGATTGAGATTGCTGTGGTGTGGTGCGGTGCATGGGAGTGACGGGGTTGCAACAACAAGCGGATAAAAGGGGTGGGAAAGGTGAGAGGAGATGGGGTGGTTGGTTGAGATTGCTGTGGTGTGGTGCGGTGCGGTGTGGTGCATGGGAGTGGTAGGGTTGCAACAAGAAGCGCAGAGAAAGGGCGGGGAAGGTGAGAGGAGATGGGCGGTTGGTTGACATTGTTGTGGTGTGGTGGATGGGAGTGGTAAGAATGCAACAAGAAGGGGAGAGAAGGGGCGATAGAGTGAAGCGGTGGTGGGAGAGAGCGATAACAGAAACAGCAGCAGCAGACAGCAACAGAGGAGGCAACAGCAGCACAACAACATTCCAGCATTTCCAGAAGGGCGACGAGGAGGAAATGGACGGCACAACAGTCGCCTGCTCGTTACACTCACATCTTCACGACTGCCCCGGCTGCGTTACACTCGACGCCCTTCCATGCACTCGCAGCACTCGACACAGGCATAGGAGGCACCAACGCACCAACCACCGGGCAGAGATACGCCAAGGAAGGGGAGGAAGCGGTGGGGAACGAGGCAGACGTCGAAACAACCCCCATCACAGTCGCAGTAGGGACGGAGGCCCAAGAGGAGAGAGTCACTCCGAGGGAAGACTTCAGAGCAAGCATGGCTTGCGATGATCCCGAGGTCATGCCGATCATAGCACAGAACATGGGCAGCAGCGGCGACGAGGAGGTATAGGGAGTCCCCTGGCTGAACGGGACCGAGGCGTTCGGTGCACATGAGCCTCCCCCGCATAGCACCTGAGAGGACCCCGCAGCAGGCACCACCCACCCTGACGCGTCCGCAGTCATGGTTACGTTACAGATGGAGCAGGAGGCGGGGGTGCGCTGGGTGGTGGCGGTGGTGTTGCAGGTGGCGGCTTGGGAGAAGCAGTTGCTGGTGGCTGTGCAGTAGGTGGCGGAGTGCGAGGGGAAGGGGCCGTAGAGGAAGTTGTGTTGCACGTCGATGTTCTTCAGGGCGGGCCCGGGGGCTGGGAAGGTTCCTGTGAGGTAGTTGCGGAAGAACTTGCTGCAGGGAGAAGGGCGGGGGAGGGTGGGGGAGGGTGGGGGAGGGTGGGGGAGGGTGGGGGAGGGTGGGGGAGGGTGGGGGAGGGTGGGGGAGGGTGGGAAGAAGGGAGGGAAGGAGGGAGATTGAGGGGTGAGGGAGAGAAAGGAAGGAGCCGGAGAGGAAGTTGTGCTGCAGGTTGATGTTCTTCAGGGCGGGACCAGGGGCTGGGAAGGTTCCCGTGAGGTAGTTGCGATAGAACTTGCTGCAGGGGAGGGCGTGGGGGGGTGGGAAGAAGGGAGAGAAGGAGGGAAACAGAGGGTGAGGTGAGGAAGCGGGGGTGCGCTGGGTGGTGGCGGTGGTGTTGCAGGTGGAGGCTTGGGAGAAGCAGTTGGTGGTGGCGGTGCAGTAGGTGGCGGAGTGCGAGGGGAAGGAGCCGGACAGGAAGTTGTGCTGCAGGTCGATGTTCTTTAGGGCTGCGCCGGGGGCTGGGATGTTGGAAGTGTGGGGGACGGGCTTGCCCCCCACGCTAAGACCCCCCTTGACTCGGACCAAGGGGGGGTGTTTTCACGGAAGGTTGGGGTGACGGCGGATTGTCCGCGTCGCCACGCAACCAAAGTTCACCCGGTTGGGTCCGAAACTTTGTGGGGGCTACACTTGGCAGCCCCACAAGCTCTCACGAAAATAGCGAGAGTTCTAGCGAAGGTTTTGAACCATTCGCTACACTCGCTACCACTTCGTGTAACACACGCATTTGGTGTGTTGAAATGAACTCGGCAAGGTCCGAACATGTGAGCGCGGAGGTCGCGGAAATTCGACGTCCCAAGTCCAAATTTCCGCGAGTCGCGCGCGGTTCGATGTTACAATTGAGATTGCATGTTTTAGATATAAATTCCAGAGAGGAAACAGAGAGTTCATGCCTTCCAAGACTTGTGTACCCATCTCCATATTATAAGCAAGTTCTCTCTCAATTCTCGGGCGTTTTCAGTGATTCAAAGTGCTACTGCTTCGTTGCTCCGAGCCCGTCGTATCGATCCTAGGCTCTGCCTCTAGCTCGCCAAGTTAATTCTGTGGCGCTAGCTAAACAGAGGCGGATTCTTTCATGGTATGAGAGCTAGGTTAGGAGTGCTCGCTCAATCGTTGCTACGCCATGGGTTCCTCCGATAATTCGTCGACGACGAATGCGCCAACGACCCCTTCCCTCCCGGCGGACTTCTCGACAACGCCGCACGTTGTCGACTTGAGCGCGGTGCCGATTTTCAACGGGGAGCATTTCTCCTCGTGGCGTTTCAAGCTCAAGGTGTACATGATGGAGCGCGACTTGTGGGGCTTCTTCGATGGGTCGGCATCGAAGCCCACGTCGGACGCTTCAACCGCGGAGAAGGAAGCGTGGGTGCATAAGGACAAAAAGGCGTTTGCCTTTCTTGTCTCCAAGCTAAGCCTCCAACTCGTCCCGATCGTGAGTCCGTGCATCGACCGTGACGGCGCGACTCGTGAAGCGTGGAAGCGACTCGAAGGAGAGCACGTCTCCAAGTCGCTTCATAGCAAGCTTCAAGCGCGCCTCGACTTCTTCACGGTGCGGATGAGGGACGGCGAGTCAATGCGCGCGTACGTCAACCGCGTGGAGGAGCTTGGCGAGCGCTTGGTGGAACTCGACGCGAGCGTGGAGGACAACGATTGGATCATGACGCTCCTCGCGGGCCTCGGTGAAGCGTGGTCAACCGTGATCACGATGTTGGATGGGACGCAAGACACGTGGAAGAAGGAGCAAGTGGTGGCACGCCTCATCAACGAAGAGGCGAGGCGCACGAAATTGCATGGCGATGCAATTGGCGCGGCACACTTCTCTCGCGATGCGAAGGCGAAAGGGACGAGTCACTTCAAGCGGCGCAACGACGGCAACAACCGCGGGAGCTCGAGCGGGAGCGCGGCGGCCTCAAGCTCATCACGAGGAGGACCGGCCAACGCCAATCGAGCTCGAACGCGTGACGGAGCTTGTCGTTTTTGCAAGAAGACCGGACATTGGTGGCGCGAATGTCCCGTCAAGCCGGCAAATTGGAAGCCGTCAAGCGACGACAACCGGCGTGCGCATGTGGCGACATGCGACAACAACGACCGGGAGTTCGTATTCGTCGCAAGTGGAACGAGCGTCGGTGGTGTTGACGCGTGGATACTCGATACGGGTGCTACTCAACACATGACGGCGTGTGCGACGCTTCTCAACAACGTGACAACGGAGGCTCCCGTTAAGCGCGTGATGTTCGGCAACCGTGACACGTTGGACGTCACGGGACAAGGCGACTTGCGGCTCATGGTGGACGGCGGTCCACTCACCATCAAGAACGTCTTGGTGGTTCCCGGGCTCGGTGCCAACCTCCTCTCCGTTTCTCAACTCACACGCATGGGGATGCGTGTGAACATCGAAGGGACCATGATGGCGTTGAGCGCGGCGGATGGCGTACACATCGGCACGGCACGCCAAACGGGAGGACTCTTCATGCTCGATGCCCTCCCAAGTGTGGCGACGGCTCAAGCGGCTACCTCGACAACCACTCTCAAAACGTGGCATAATCGATTTGGCCACCTCCACTACGACGCTATTCAAGCTATGGCAACGAAGGGGATTGTCAACGGCTTGGAGTTTGTGCGCTCGAGTGGAGATGATGAGAAGTGTGTCGGTTGTCTCGAAGGGACAATGGCACGGAAGCCATTTCCACCAAGCACGAAGCCGAACGCCACCGAACCTCTCAAGCTCGTTCACACGGACTTGTGCGGACCGATCACTCCCGCGTCGAAGGGCGGTGCGCGCTACGTTCTCACGCTCCTCGACGACGCGACGCGGATGTGTTGGATTCGGCTTCTCAAGAACAAGGACGCCACGTCAACCGCCATCAAGCAATGGGTCGCGGATGTGGAGACGGAAAGCGGCTTCAAGGTGAAGCGCTTTCGCTCGGATGGAGGTGGCGAATACACCGCTCGGGAGCTCGGCGATTGGTTGAAAGGGCGTGGGACCGCGCACGAATTTTCTACGCCGTACACGCCTCAACAAAATGGAGCCGCCGAACGCTTGAATCGCACGCTCATGGAGTCGGCACGGAGTCTCCTCTCCCATGCTCACGCGGAGAAGCATTGGTGGGGAGAGGCGGTTACGTTGGCAACTTGGATTCGCAACCGGTGCGTGACCAAGGCGTTGCCCAACAAGACGCCTCTTGAGGCTTGGAGCGGTACGAAGCCGGACGTCACCGACCTTCGCACGTTTGGGTGTACGTGCTACTACCATGTCCCGGATGCTACACGGACCAAGCTTGAGGCGAAGGCGCGGGTGGCGATGTACTTGGGTCCAAGCGCGGATCACAAGGGGTGGCGCGTGTGGGACTTGGAGCACGGGAAACTCGTGGTGTCGCGCGACGTGGTGTTCTACGAAGACACCTTCCCCTCCAAGTCTACGAACGTGCCCTCGGTCATCATCGTCCCTCCACCCTTGGATGCCGCGGATGAGGCGGATGATGTTTCTACGGCTCCTCCTCCTCGTGCGAGTGAGGGGGAGAATGGATCGGGTGCGGTTGGAGTGAGTGAGGATGAAGGAAATGCCAAGGAACGTGACCCTTCGTCTCCTCCTCCTCGTATCACTCCCACCCTCGCATCCACTCGCACTCGAAGGAACCCTCATCCCAACTCCAAGTTCGATGACTACTCTCTCGTGGCGGGGGACGATGAGGGAGGGGGAGACGCTATGTGTCTTGAGGCGTACACCGACACCCCGTCCACCTACCACGGCGCCATGAGCTCGGCGGAAGCGGCGGAATGGGAGCGCGCGCTCCAAGAGGAGTACGATTCACTCATGGCGAACGACGTCTACGAGCTTGTCCCCATGCCTCCCGGCGCCTACCTCGTTGGCTCTCGTTGGGTCTTCAAGAAGAAGCTCGGCCCCAACGGAGAAGTGGAGCGGTACAAGGCGCGGTTGGTGGCGCAAGGCTACACTCAAAAAGAGGGTCTTCACTACAACGAGACGTTCGCTCCCGTCGCTAAGTCCGCTACGTTGCGCACCCTCTTGGCGTTGGCGGGAGCACTCGACTTGGAGGTGGAACAACTCGACGTGAAGACGGCGTTTCTCTACGGTCGTCTCAAGGAGGAGGTGTACATGAAGCAACCTCCCGGGTTCGACGACGATTCCGACCGCGTGTGCAAGCTCAAGCGCACAATCTACGGCCTCAAGCAAAGCCCTCGTGCGTGGTACACGAGGATCGACGATCACTTGCTCTCATTGGGGTTCGTGCGGAGCGAGTGTGACCACGCGCTCTACGTGCTCAACAAGGACGAGAAGAAGCTCGTTCTTCTCCTCTACGTCGACGACCTCCTCCTCGTGTCGGATTCCAAGACACTTGTAGCGGACGTGAAGGAGAAGCTTGCCGCCGAATTCTCTATGCGTGACCTCGGCGCCGTCTCCCACTACCTAGGAATGCACATCGATCGTGATCGAGGGAACAAGACCCTCGCCCTCCACCAACACAAGTACTTGGAGAGTGTGGTGGATCGCTTCGGCATGATCGAGAGCAAGCCTACACCGACACCCATGGAAGCGGGGTTTCATCCCTTGGCTGTGAGCGATGAGAACTCGTTGGATCCCGAGAGCGCCAAGACCTTCCACTCGGTCGTTGGGTCGTGCATGTATGCCGCGGTGAGCACGCGACCCGACCTCTCCTTTCCCGTTGGAGTGCTTGGGCGTGTCGTCTCCAACCCCATGGTCGAGCATGTGCGAGCGTCACGACGCCTCCTTCGCTACATCAAGGGGACCACTCGTATGGGGTTGCACTACGAGAAGGGACCCGTGGTGCTTCAAGGCTACACGGATGCGGATTGGGCGGGAGATCCTTCAACCCGCCAAAGCACCTCGGGCTATATCTTCACCCTCGTGGGAGGTGCAATAAGTTGGCAAAGCAAGCGCCAAAACTTGATTGCACTTAGCTCCACCGAAGCGGAATACGTGGCGCTCACTCGTGGTGGTACGGAAGCGGTTTGGCTAAGGCGTCTTCTTGCCGAGCTTGGGCACAAACAAGAAGGCCCCACTCCCATCTACGTGGACAACCAAGCCGCTATTGGCCTAGCCAAGAATTCGGTCCTTCACGGAAGGACCAAGCATATTCAAATCCGCCACCACTTCATTCGCAAGCTCGTTGAAGACAACGAAGTCGAGCTTCGTTACATCAAGACCAACTCCCAACCCGCGGACTTCCTTACCAAGCCATTGCCTAGAGATGCTCTTCATGCATGTTGTGCTAGGGTAGGCTTGCATGCTTAGGTGTGCGTGGGGTGCAAGGGGGAGTGTTGGAAGTGTGGGGGACGGGATTGCCCCCCACGCTAAGACCCCCCTTGACTCGGACCAAGGGGGGGTGTTTTCACGGAAGGTTGGGGTGACGGCGGATTGTCCGCGTCGCCACGCAACCAAAGTTCACCCGGTTGGGTCCGAAACTTTGTGGGGGCTACACTTGGCAGCCCCACAAGCTCTCACGAAAATAGCGAGAGTTCTAGCGAAGGTTTTGAACCATTCGCTACACTCGCTACCACTTCGTGTAACACACGCATTTGGTGTGTTGAAATGAACTCGGCAAGGTCCGAACATGTGAGCGCGGAGGTCGCGGAAATTCGACGTCCCAAGTCCAAATTTCCGCGAGTCGCGCGCGGTTCGATGTTACAATTGAGATTGCATGTTTTAGATATAAATTCCAGAGAGGAAACAGAGAGTTCATGCCTTCCAAGACTTGTGTACCCATCTCCATATTATAAGCAAGTTCTCTCTCAATTCTCGGGCGTTTTCAGTGATTCAAAGTGCTACTGCTTCGTTGCTCCGAGCCCGTCGTATCGATCCTAGGCTCTGCCTCTAGCTCGCCAAGTTAATTCTGTGGCGCTAGCTAAACAGAGGCGGATTCTTTCATAGGAAGGTTCCTGTGAGGTAGTTGCGGAAGAATTTGCTGCAGTGGGAGGGCGGGGAACGTGAGGGGGAGGGGGGGAAAGAAGGCGGGGTGTGAGAGGCGGAGGGGAGGTTGAGATTTAGTGTTGGGAAGCAGGAGAAGCAGTTGCTGGTGGCAGTGTAAGTGGTGGAGTGGGAGAAAAGGGGCTGAATCTGTTTTTCTGAGAATTCTAAAAAAAAGGGGAGGAAAGGGGGGAGCCTGAGAGTAAGTCGTGCTGCAGTTTAATGTGTTTGTGGGCTTTTGAGAAGTCTCAAAACTGACTGACTCACTTTTGAGGCGCCTCAAAAATCGTCTCAGTTCATGCGGCTTTTGAGACGTCTCAAAACTGACTGACTCACATCCAGTAGAGGTTGGGAAGAGCGATGAGGGCTGTGGGTATGGTGCCATACAGCCAGTTCTGGTGAATATGCCTGTAACGGGGACAGAGGGTGATGATCGGGGCAGGGGAAAGGACGGCAGCGCCGTGCCGTAGGGCAATGGTGAAGAGTAGGAACGACCGTCAGATGAGCAGAACGAAGGGTCAGCAAGGGTGGTGTGGGGGAGCACGTGCCATGTGATTTGAACACGGGTCAGCAAGGGTGGTGTGGGGCAGCAGGTTGGATGAGAACACGTCACAGTCACACGCACACAACCGACGGTCACAGCACAGAAACATCGCGTGAGCAGCACAGAAGCAGCACGACCTGGTGGTGAGCAGCAGCAGGTTGGATGTGAACACTTAGCAAAGCGTTGCAGAAAACAACTGACAGTCTCCACAGCACAGTAATGGCATTGCACGGTGTGGCTCATCAGCATCACGCGAGCAGCACGCACAGGTCAGCAAGGGTGGTGAGCGGCAGCAGGTTGGATGTGAACACAGCAACAAAACAACTGACAGTCTACACAGCAAATTAGGTGTGGCACATGAGCAGCACAGGAGCATCACGCGAGCAGCACGCACAGGTCAGCAAGGGTGGTGAGCGGCAGCAGGTTGGATGTGAACACAGCAACAAAACAACTGACAGTCTACACAGCAAATTAGGTGTGGCACATGAGCAGCACAGGAGCATCACGCGAGCAGCACGCACAGGTCAGCAAGGGTGGTGAGCGGCAGCAGGTTGGATGTGAACACAGCAACAAAACAACTGACAGTCTACACAGCAAATTAGGTGTGGCACATGAGCAGCACAGGAGCATCACGCGAGCAGCACGCACAGGTCAGCAAGGGTGGTGAGCGGCAGCAGGTTGGATGTGAACACAGCAACAAAACAACTGACAGTCTACACAGCAAATTAGGTGTGGCACATGAGCAGCACAGGAGCATCACGTGAGCAGCACGCACAGGTCAGCAAGGGTGGTGAGCGGCATCAGGTTGGATGTGAACACGTCAAAGTCACACGCACACAACTGACGGTCACAGACTCACAGCACAGAAACATCACGCGAACAGCACATGAGCAGCACGCACAGGTCAGCCAGGGTGGTGAGCGGCAGCAGGTTGGATGTGAAGGCGGCGAGCCTTTGAACAAAGAGGTTCGTGCCCCTCTACGGTGGGGGGGAACACGAAGGGAGAGGGGATGTACAGGAAGGAAGGGGGAAGAAAATGGGAGGGGAAGGAGGCTCAGATTGACAGTTTGCTTTGTTTTGCCTCTTTTTTTTTTTTGTTATCAGGCACCTCAAAGCTAAGCCTTACACAAGTGAGTTGGCATGGGCAAAGGCGTGTCAGCATGGCACAGCAAGGCTTACACGTGAGTCAGCATGGCATGGCATGGCAAGGCGTACATGTGATTGAGGGCAGTGAGCTTGGAAATTTCCTTTGGGATGCTTCCCGTGAGCTTCTGATTCTCCAGGTCGCTGCAAGGGAGAGAGAGGAAGCAGAGAGGGGACAGAGAGGAGGCACAGAGAAGGCACAGAGAAGGCACAGAGTAGGCACAGAAAAGGCACAGAGAAGGAATAAGAACAGAGAAGCACTGAGAGGCAATGCAAAGCATTGAAGCGCTTGCCATACACGCATTGTCGCAAACACACTCACACGCACCCCTTACCCACCACCCAAACATACATCTGTCGCACATCCCTCGAGGGCGAGCACAGCACGCCCACCCACTCCCCCTCTTGCTGCGTCGTCTGGCATACATGCATGCAGTGTCGCACACACACACTCACTCACACAGGCACACAACACACGCGCCCCTTACATCCCACCCACACGTACATCTGGCGCACGTCCCCCGCGGGTGAGCACAGCACGCCCGCCCACTCCCCCGCTTGCTGCGGCTGCCATACATGCAGCATCGCACACACATACACGCCTCACCCCCCCCGCACACACCCTCACACGCACACACCCACTCACACACGCGCCCCTTACATCCCACCCACCCTCCCACACGCACATCTGCCTCACATCCCCCGAGGGTGAGCACAGCACGCCCGTCCACTCCCCCGCCTGCTGCTCGCCGAGCCTACATGCAGTGTCGCACACACACACACGCCTCACCCCTCCCCCCGCACACACGCTCACGCCTCACCCCCCCTCGCACACACGCACACGCCTCACCCCCCCCGCACACACCCGCACACCCACTCACACGCGCCCCTTACATCCCACACACCCTCCCACACGCACATCTGGCGCACATCCCCCGAGGGAGAGCACAACACGCCCGTCCACTCCCCCGCCTGCTGCGCCTGGCTGGTGAGCGTGCAGGCCGTGTTGGCTCTGGTGTAGCAGACGCACATGCATCCCAACACCCCTACACCCCTTCCCATGCATGCGTCACACGCACACACATGCACGCACACACACACATACATCTGGCGCACATCCCCCGAGGGCGAGCACAGCACGCCCGCCCACTCCCCCGCTTGCTGCTGCTCGCCGGGCCTACATGCAGCATTGCACACACATACACGCCTCAACCCCCCCGCACACCCACACACCCACTCAAACGCGCCCCTTACATCCCACCCACCCTCCCACACGCACATCTGCCTCACATCCCCAGCGGGTGAGCACAGCACGCCCGCCCACTCCCCCGCCTGCTGCGCCTGGCTGGTGAGCGTGCACGCCGTGTTGCCCGCTGCCCACGTGGTGAGAGTCACTCCGAGCGACGACTTGATGATTAGAAGCGTGTCGACTGGGAGAGATGGGAGGGAACAGGGGGGTCCGGGGTGGGGGGTAGAGGGGATGGGGAGTGGGGGGGTAGGCGGAGGCAGGGAAGGCAGTGGGGAGAAGAGCGGCTGGTGAGCGTGCATGCTGTGTTGCCCGCTGCCCACGTGGTGAGAGTCACTCCGAGCGACGACTTGATGATTAGAAGCGTGTCGACTGGGGGAGATGGGAGGGACGGGAGAGGCAAGGGGAGACAAGGTTAGGGGCGAGGGCAGGGAGGGGGGGGAGATGGATGGGTGGTAAGAGTGCAGGCCGTGTTGCCCGCTGCCCACGTGGTGAGGGTCACGACTTGATGATTAAGAGGGTGTCGACTGGGGGGGGACATGAGGGGGCAGGCAGGGGGATGTGCGGGGAGAAAGGAGAAGAAGAGTGGCGGGTGAGAGTGCAGGCCGTGTTGCCCCGGGCGCATGTGGTGAGGGTCACACCGAGAGACGACTTGATGATTAAGAGGGTGTCGACTGGGGGAGACAGGAGGGGGGACGCAAGGCGGTTGCACAAGGGATGTACTATTCCCTTCCCGTCCCCCTTGCTCCCCCTTTCCCAGCAGCGGGTACCCCCGCTCCCCTTTCCTCTCCTCCCCCGTTCCCCATCCTTTCCGCTGCCCCCCCAACCCCGCTCTGCGCCCAGCTCTCCGCCTGCCCGCGCTCACTTGTGCTTGCGCTCATGGGCACTGCGCCCGCGCGCGGAAAAAGCGGAAGAATGACCGCGCATAGCACCACGAGGGCTGCCGAGATTCCCGCGCCACGCGGGAAGGACCGCCTTGAACCAGACATCATCCGCGCCCGTTCCGCCGCCCGCCATTCCCCTCGCCGTCCTTGCGCGCGCGATTTTGCCGTTTCTCCTCCCACGCGCACCTCCCCCCGCCGTCCCCGCATCTCACGGCGTTTTTCTGTTTGCATGGGGCGCAGCTGAATATCTAGCGAGCTATATCATACTATCAGCTTCCGTCCGAATATGAGGCATGCTACAATGCGGAATGAAGCTTACGCGTGACTATCTCGAGGTTTTAATATTGTCCCTACGACAAGTGTCACCTGTGGGATCTGACATGAAAATATATGACGTACGCGATAATAGCTAATCTTGCATTGGCGTATCTATGGCTGTTAGCCAACCGTAACCATCTGACGCAGTAACGCGGTTTTTCGCCAACGGCAGGTTCTCATCGACACTTGCGAAATCCACGATTAGCGAAACTTCGATTTGGTCCCTATCTGGGCGAATGGGTGGCTGGTGAGTCGTATGCGAAGACGGGTGAAGCGAAGATGAAGACGGGTTACGAATGCTAAGGATACAGTTCTTTGTGTTGTCAGGCACTGTTGAAATTGCCTAGCTTTGCCCTTCCAGCTGTCGGCCAGCTGGCTGCACCAGAGTCACATAAACCGTCGATCGGGTCCGATTTTCCTCCAACAAGCACCACCCCCTACCACCACTCTATCAACTCGTCGCTAGCAATTACGGCCCCAAGCCGGACCACAAGCGACAAAACAAGGCAAAACCCGCCCAGCACTCCACCCATAACAAATGCGATTCTGCGATTGCTCGTGTGAACCGTGTGAATTTCGTGAAGGCCGTTGGCAAGGGAGCCACGAGTCCTTCTCCGAACCAGAACCACTCTGTACCGAAGAGTCAATGCACTTGTTAACTATGAAACCGTGCCTGACCCGTTTGAAAGTCGAAATCGTAACAGACGATGAATGGAATCAACCACGCCGCGTGCAATTTGAGGTTCTCTTTCGCAGGAGGTTTGATTCCCTGTTGAGTTGAGTTGAGTGGGTGGAGTGAGGTTTGGTGTAAGTCGAGCTGGCACCAGCCCTCGAGATTCCGAGTACACAGTACACTTCCGTACCCCCTTTTCGCAAAAGCAGCTGGATAGCAGGTCACACCACACAAAACCGAACCAGAACGTACCAAACCGTCGTTCTTGATGCGCTGGTGGCATTCCAACTCCCGAAACCCCTTCCCGTCCGTACAAGTATTCCCCCGCGCTCCGGACTAACTGTGCGCGCAGCCCGCCACCAATCCCGCTCTCGTCTCAGAAGACAGCACAGCTGTTGCACGAAACGAAGCGTCCGAAGCGCTTGAAGCGTAAGCTTTAAAGGGCTGGCTTTCATCTCCAGAGTTTGGCTGCGATCGCCGTGCTTTAGTAGGAGGCCGCCAATGCGGAAATAAATAAACGACCAGAACAGTGCGTTAGAGACGGAGAAGCTGCGATTGTATCGAGATTCAAATCCTCTTAGCATCAGGGTTTCTAGCACGTCTTTTATTCTCGAATCCCGTGATTTGCGCCCGCGCAGCGACGTATCATCGCATAGCGTGTTTAGTTTCGCCAACTGTCGCAAGATGTCGCAGCGCATGAGCCAGGATCCTTGAATGCGACATCGGCGGACCCTTCTAGTGCAAGGCAACGAGCAGTTTTAGAACGAGTGAGTCCACACATGGCTTACACTCTGCCGCGCGCCGCGCGCTAATGCGCTTCCCGCATACCAGATCATGGCGCGCTGTCGCCGTGTCCCCGCGTGTCCTTCCCCGCGGGCGCTTTCCGCCCTTCCCCAGAGAATAGCTTTGGGCTCGCGGCGTTCCCCAGGTTCGGCGGAATGCTCTCCCCGAGCCATCTCGCTCACCTCTTCCGCCATGTCCTGCCGCCTCTCGCGGGGAGGAACCCCCCCCGCGCCTGCGCTCCGCTGCACCGATGCGGTGATCTGCGCGCCGCGTCTGTCGGCGCGTTTAGCGGGGACGCTCGCGCTCCTGCTCGTCGCCGGCGTGTGCGGCGGCTTCTGCGGCCGCGCTAGCGCCGTCGCCGTCAACCATAACGACTGTAAGTCGGCGAAACCTGACGATCGTCACTCTTGTTAGCATCTCGCCGCCAAATGTGACTGCATGCGCGGGATTTAAGTTTTGAGACCCCAATCCCCACCCCCTCTGCACCAGGGGCGGCGCTGCTGTCACTGCGCGCCGAGCTGAGATTCACTGCGTCCGCCTCGCGCACACATAAGGGGCTCTGTTCTCTTCTTCCCCACCCTTCCCCTTTCTTCCCCCGCGCCCCCCACCCCTCCCGCGCCCTCCGTGCTCCCGAGGGGCGGCGCTCCTCTCACTGCGCGCCGAGCTCAACTTCACTGTGCCCGCCTCGCGCACGCTCAAGGCGCTCTGCTCTTTTCTCTCCCCGCCCCCCCTCCCCCTCCTCCCCTCCCCGCCCCGCCCTCCGTCCCCAGGGGCTGCACTCTTCTCACTGCGCGCCGAGCTCAACTTCACCGCGCCCGCCTCATGCACGCCCGAGGGGCTCTGTTCTCTTCTTCCCCACCCTTCCCCCTCCCCCTCCCCCCCTTTCTCCCCAGGGGCGGCTCTCCTCTCACTGCGCGCCGAGCTCAACTTCACCGCGCCCGCTTCGCGCACACCCAAGGCGCTGTGGGCGTCGCGGGCGAGCTGTGATGACCTGTACGGCGTGCGGTGCGACGAGCAGGGCAGCGTTACCTCCCTGTGAGTGGCTTCTGTCATCTCACTCACTCTTTTGCTCTGTTTCACTCTGATTCACGCTGTGAGTTCCCACGGCGCTCTCACAGGCACGCTTGCTACCCGCTGCAATCGGCAATCTCACTTCACATACGATCGCCTTGACCGTCCCCACCTTACAACTCACACACCCACACGTGTGTTTTCCTGTGCCTCTATCCCACTCTCCCCCCGCCATTCTCCTGTACAGCGTCACAGGCACGCTTACCTCTGCAATCGGCTGTTGAGACGTCTCCCCTCCCCCTCCCCCTCCTCTCCCCCTCCCCCTCCCCCTCCCCCTCCCCCTCCCCTCCACCTCCCCTCCCCTCTCTCCCCCGCCAGTCTCCTGTACAGCGTCACAGGCACGCTTCCCTCTGCAATCGGCAACCTCACTGCCCTCACCACACTGTGAGCATGCCATTTCACCACACTGCCTCTCCCTTCAGTCCTCTGCTGCGTGATCTCCATAACCATAACCCACTGCCAGTACCCCCCTCTCCAGCCCACTTGCCTCCCCCCATTTTCCTTCCCCTTCGTCTCTCCCCGTTCACCCCTTAATCGAATTCCCATCATCGTCCCATCAGTTCCCTCCCACATTAGCCTAATCTCTGCACCCGCACCTCACACACCCACACAACACACCCACCCCACACCCCACCCATCCCCACCCATCCCCACGCAGATTCGTCTCATCCAACCTCTCGTGCCCACTCCCACCCACCCTAGCCACCCTCACTGCGCTGGTCAACCTGCATCTCAGCCGCAACAACCTCTCCTGCTCGCTCCCCCCATGGCTCACCACGCTCTCCAAGCTCAAGATTCTGTAATATCCGATCTGATTCGTTTTGTGTGGCCCAGTTCTGCTCGGTAGATGAGATATTGTCCTGTGGGATCTTGTCCTGTGCGGTTCTGATTACGGTGTGGTTCTGTCGCATGGGATTCTGTCAGATAGGATTGTGTCAGTTGGGATTTCGTCAGATAGGATTCTGTCAGTTGGGATTTCGTCAGATATGATTCTGTCAGATACGTTTCTATTCTATGGCATGAAACCTCTCCTGTTCCACCCCTCCCTCCTACCCATCTTGTCTCCCTCGCTCTCAGGAGCATAGAGTGGAATAAGCTCACAGGAAGCATACCGGCTGGCATCTCCGCACTCTCCTCACTCTCTGCCCTGTAATGCCGCTGCCATGCACCCATGGCCCTTCATTCCCATCCATATGCCATGCTCAAACGGACCCCATTCCCCTTTTCATGTGCTCGATGCTCCCAATGCATGCCGCCCCACTCTCCCTGCTACGTCTTAACCTCAACTCACGCATGCTTCCCGCTTCTGCCACATTCTGATGCATGCCGCGCCGCCCTCCTCCCCCTGCTACACCCCCCACTGCAGGCGAGCAGACCACAACCTTCTCATCGGGTCCAGTCCTTGTTTCCATTGCAATGCATGCAAGCAACCCCCTTCCCCTTGCTACGACTTAACCTTAACGCATGCCACCCCCTTCCGGCTCCACACCTCCTCTCCCTGAAGAATCCTTATTGCAGGCAAGCAGACTACAACCTTTTGACGGGATCCATCCCGGCTGCTATCCGCAGTCTAGTTTCACATGTTCACATTCTCTCTGCTACGTCCCAAATGTCGCCCCCTACCCCTGCTACTCCCCCCACACCCCCTATTGCAGGCGAGCAGACTACAACCTTTTGACGGGATCCATCCCGGCTGCTATTGGCAGGCTCACTAACCTAACCCAGCTGTGAGTGATAGTCTCTCGCTCAATGTGAAGGTGCGTAGAACTCTTCTGAGACGACTCAAAAGCAGATTACAACCTTTTGACCGGACCCATCCCGGCTGCTATTGGCAAGCTCACTAACTCAACCCAGCTGTGAGTGATACTCTCTCGCTCAATGTGAAGCCGTGTAGAACCCTTTTGAGACGTCCCAAAAGCAGACTACAACCTTTTGACCGGATGGATCCATCCCGGCTGCTATTGGCAGGCTCACTAACCTAACACAGCTGTGAGTGTTAATGAATCTTCAGACCTTGAAAGAACCGGCCTTTCAGGCGTCTATAGACTTGAGTATCTCGCTCGGTGCCAAGGCGTGTAGAAACCCTAAACTCGGTATCAGAGATCCCACTTCACTCCCAACCTCCATCCCATCCCCTCTCACTTCCCCATCCCTCTCGCCATCCCCTGTCCCCACAGTTCTCTTGCCTTCAACAGCCTGAGCTGACCCATCCCATCGTCTGTAGGCCTGCTCAAGCAGCTCTCCCTCTCTTACACCCCTCCGCGTTTCCCGCCTCCCCCCATCACCTCACCCCCCACCCCGGTGACCACGCCCCCTAACAGTTCTCTTGCCTTCAACAGCCTCAGCGGATCCATCCCATCATCCATAGGCCTGCTGAGGCAGACTTCTGAGACGTCTCAAAAGTCCCCTCATCTATAGGCTTGCTCAAGCCGCTCTCCTCCTCTTTAACCTCTCCGCATTTCCCACCTCCCCCACCACCCCCCCCCCCCCCCCCCCCCCCCCCCCCCCCGCGACCACGCCCCCCTTGCAGTTCCCTTGCCTTCAACAGCCTGAGCGGATCCATCCCATCATCTATAGGCCTGCTCAAGCAGCTCAGAATAATGTGGGTAGTGAGGGGGGTTTGGTTTGGTAAGCATTTGGTATGATGGGGACAACATAATCGATTTGTGAGTCGACTCAAATTGGTAAGCGTCCAGTCTAGTTTGAGTTGGTCAACATAATTGCAGGGTTCATCCATCCCATCACAATTCAGCAGCCTGGTGTACATCTTGTGTCGGATCTTATTACCCCTTCGCTCTTATTTCCTCTCCTCTTGCACCCCTTCTCCCTCTCTTTTCTCCCTCCCATCCTCCAGTGACCTGCGGGGCAACATGATTACAGGCTCCATCCCCTCGCAACTTAGCACCCTCTCTCTTCTCTACCGCCTGTGAGTCCAACCCCTCGTTGTCGATTACCATTACAACTATCATTACCATTACACTTACCATTACCATTACCATTACAATCATCATCACCATTACCATTACCAGTACAATCACCATTTCCATTACCATTACAATCACCATTACCATTACCATTACCATTACAATTACCATTACCATTACCATGACAATCATCAATACCATTACCATTACAATCACCATTACCATTACAATCACCATTACCATTACCATTACAATCACCATTACCATTACCATTACCATTACAATTACCATTACAATCACCATTACAATCACCATTACCATTACAATCACCATTACCATTACCATTACAATCACCAATACCATTACCATTACAATCACCATTACCATTAGCATTACAATCACCATTACTATGACCATTACAATCACCATTACCATTACCATTACAATCACCATTACCATTACAATCACCATTACCATTACCATTACAATCACCATCACCATTACCATTACCATTACCATTAACTAATCACTAGTACCATTACCATTACCATTACCATAACCATTACAATCACCATTACCATTACCATTACCATCACCATTACCATCACCATTACCATTACCATTACCATTACAATTACCATTACCATTACCATTACCATCACCATTACCATTACCATTACCTTACGCTGTCACAGGGCCCATTCCCTCCAACCTCTCCCTTCCGATTTTCAAGTCAACTCAATAACCCAACTTGTCCCTCTCACCCCTCTCACCCCTCTCACCCCTCTCACCCCTCTCACCCCTCTCACCCCTCTCACCCCTCTCACCCACCCCTCTCACCCCTCTCACCCCTCTCACCCCTCTCACCTTACTCCTCGCGCCCCTTTCAACAGATCGCTCCAGAGCAACGCCCTCACGGGGCCCATTCCCTCCACCCTCGCCCTCCCAGCCCTCAGACACCTGTAAGGCTAGCAGCAACGCGTGAGGCGTCTCAGAACACGACGCAGTAACGCTAGTTCTGAGTAACGCGCCATGCTGCAAGCAGGTGCATGTGGGCTTTCAAAACTCGAGTTCAATCAAACGAGTGTCCAGGATCTAGGGTGAGTAAATGCATGTGAAAGAGAGTGGGCAATTTCCATACCCTCCCTTTTCAATATCATTTAGATTGTGAATCCCCCCTCCCCCCACACCACACACACTCATGCTTTCCGTTCCCATGCTGTCGCAGTGCTCTGCACAGCAATGCACTCTCCCATGCTTTCCTTTCTCAACGCTGAGTCGCTCCCATCAACTCTTGAGAAGGGTTGAACTCTCTTCTCGTTGTGAACTCCCTCCCCTCACACACCCTCTTCACGCTTTCCCCTGCTGCCATAGCGCTGTGGACAACAACGCACTCTCCGGCTCCCTGCCATCAACCCTCAGGAATATCACCTCCCTTGCCCCATCTCTCTCCTAATAATAATGCCCTCTCAATGCCCCTCCCTTATGCCCACCCCATGCCCCTGCTCCCTCCCTCCCTGCTCCCTTCTTGCTGCCACAGCGCTTTGGACAACAACGCACTCTCCGGCTCCCTGCCATCAACCCTTGGGGACCTCACCTCCCTCGCGTACTTGTAATGCCCCTCCTCTTTTCCTCTTGAACCCTCAAGGCTCCTCCCTCGCTCCCCTCCTCCCTCGCTCCCCTCGTCCCTCTTTCCCTCCTTCCTTTCCTCCCTCCCTCTCCCTCTCTCCTTTCTCGCCACCCAATCCATCCAGCCAGCCTTCATCGCCGCTCTTCAGTCCGTTAATTCCTCACTCACTCACTCACTCACTCTTGCGGTCACTCAGGCACTCAGTCAGTTCTATCAAGCAGCCTATTAATCGTTCAAATCCTTGAAGCACCCTGCTTGAACCTCAACTCTATTGCGCACATTCCATGTTTTGAGCCGACTCGAAACTTGCACCATTCTTGAATCTCACCTCAATTGCGCACATGCCATCCATTCACCCACCCACCCTTTGCGTTCTTAAGCATTTCTAAACCCTCATCCTCCACTCGCCTCTCCAACCTCACTCCCCTCATTCTCACTTCCCAACTCACCCCCAATCTCTCCCACTCCTATTTTCCCCCTGTAATCCCCAGCTCAGCGAGAGCAACAGCAGCTTCTCACCATACCCGCAGGCATTCTCACCGTCCCCTCCCCGCATCCTCCCCCCACCATCCTTATCCCACCCCCCCCTCCCCTTCCCCCACACTGTAATCCCCAGCTCAGCGAGCAACAACCGCCTCTCATCGTCCCTCCCCGCGTCCATCTCTGCTCTCATTCTCCTTCAACACTTGTACGAACATCATTTCTCTCCCTCCTTACCAGCCTTCCTTTCTTCCTCCCCTCTCTCTTTAATTCCTATTCACCCCTCTCTCTTTTTCTTTCCATGTCCCTCTTTGATCTCGCCTCCCTCCCCTCCACACCTCCCTCCAAACATCCCTGCTGCCTTCTCCGTTCTCTAAACGACTTTCGACTTGATAAACACGTTTGTTTGCCCGTAACACCTTTCTTCATGCTCCTCCCACCCGATTCTGCTCCCCCAGAGATCTCTCCCGCAACCTTTTCTCGGGCTCTATCCCTGCTGCCCTCTCTGCTCTGCAAGACCTCACCACACTGTAAGCACACTTCGATGTAAGCACACCTCACTGTAAGCACACACATCATTGGTCAACCGACCGACATCACACATTGCTCATCACTCACCGCCTGTCATTACTCCCATAGCCTCCTACCTCGTCGTTTCTGACCCTTTGTGCCACACCCGTTTCTGACCCATTGTGCTGCCGTCACATCTAATTGACCCTGTGTGCTGCTGTGTTGTGCAGGCTACTCAACGCCAACTCCTTCCAAGGGCCCATCCCATCCGCCCTCTCCTCCCTTGTCTCTCTCTACGAAATGTGAGGGCGCCGCATCTCACTTGGTTTTCCTCTCGCTCCGTTGCCTTGCCACACCCCCTTCTTTTCATTCACCCTTCTTTCCCTCCCCCACTCTAGGACTGTTGTTAACCTTGCCCGCACTAACCTTGTAAACTTCGCTTCACACCACACCTGACTGACCTTGTTGTCACCGTGCGTCTCCCCCAACCCCAACGCCAACCCCACAAGCAGAGACCTCTCGGCCAATCAGCTGTCGGGAAATCTTCCTCCCATCTTCACCAACGCCATGCCTGACGTCAGCATTATGTGAGTGTCACGTCAGCATCATGTGAGTGACATCAGCATCACGTGAGTGTGACGTCAGCATAATGTGACAGTGACGTCAGCAGCATCATGTGAATGTGACGTCAGCATCAGTTGAGTGATGTCAGCATCATGTGAGTGTCATGTGAGTGTGGCGCAGCTCTCACTCACCCTTCCTTGTGTCCTTGTTTCACACGTCCACATTCCATCTCCCTCCCTCCTCCCCCAGACGATTGAGTCAGAATCAGCTCCTCGGCCTCTTACCAGCGTCGCTAGCGACCTGCTCCCAACTGAACACTCTGTGAGCCTTCCTCTCTGCACTATCCAGCGTCTGTTTTTTTAGAATTCTCAAAAGACGGACTCTCTGTGAGCCTTCCTCTCTGCTCTTCCCACGCGTGAATGCACGCCCTCTCTTTCACTTCAATCAAACAATCACTCTGTTTTGCACTCTCTGTGATTGTGACTCTCTTGCCTCTCCCTCGCTCCCATTCACATCATCTACCATCACGCCCTCCTCCCCACCATAATCACACCCTCCTCTCCACCATAATCACGCCCTCCTCCCTCCCCACCATAATCACGCCCTCCTCTCCACCATAATCACGCCCTCCTCCCTCCCCACCATAATCACCAGTGACGTCTCTTCGAATGCCTTCACTGGTGCGCCCGCCACCATTATCAACCGCCTTTCCTCGCTCGTTGACCTGTGAGCCCCTATTGCCCCTCCCGCTGTGCTCTTTCGGTAGCCATAAAAAAGGCCTGTCCTCCCACTGGGCTCAGAATTCATGGTTCGAATCAGATTTAGGGCTCAATTCTCATTCATGGTTCAGGCCTTCCAACCGTCGGTTATTGAGGCGACTTACAAGTAACTTCGGCTGTAGGGTTCGTGTCGGGTCTTGCGTCGCATAAGAAAACTTATCCTTGACTTGCCATACCACACCACCCCTTTTCCCCCACCAGCAACCTATCGCGCAACTACTTCACGGGTCTCCTCCCATCACTCCCCTCCTCTGCCGCCCTCTTCTCTCTCGACCTCTCCTCCAACTTCTTTTTCGGTCCCGCCATTCCCCTTGACGCCTCTGGCGCCCCCATCTGCCCCTTGCTCTCCCTCACCGTCCACACCGCCTATAATTGCCTTACGTTTGATGCTTCCATGTGTGATGCTGCTGGGGGTGGTGGGGGTAGCAGTGGTGGTGCTGGTGATGGGGCTATTGCGACTAGAAGCGCTGGTATGATGAGCAGCGGCAGTAGTGGTGATGGTGGTGGTGGTTCTGGTGACGTTCGAATCAGCAGTATTGGGGACACTGGTAGCAGCAGCGCCAGCGTCACTGCTCAAAGCATTCACAGCAGCAGCGGCAGCACCATTAGCAGCAGCAGAGCTACTGCAACTGCTGCTGATTCTGATAATGAACAGAGGGTTTTTCTTGGACACAAGGAGCGGGCAGAGATGTTTGGGCGTGAGGACGAGGAGAAGAGGAAAACAGGTCATGCTCATGCCACTTTTGAGGCGCCTCAAAAGGAGAAGAGGAAAACAGGTCATGCTCATGCCACCAGTGCTGCTGACCTAAAAGCTACTCCTTACCAGCTGCTCGCCTCTACGCCATCCCATGAAGCCCTTGCGAGAGCAGCCTTTGCTGGACACAAGGAGCGTGCAGAGATGGTAGGGCGTGCGGAGGAGAAGAGGGAACGGCAGCCAGGGTCTAGTGCTGAGGCCACCACCGCTCATCTGATAGCTACTGTTGAGGCGCCTCAACAGCAGCAACAGCATGCTCATGCCACCACCACTGCTCACCTTGACGCTTCCTCTCCTCGTGCCCACTCCTTCTTGCCATCGTATGAAGAACAGTTACGAGCCGCGTTTCTCGGGCACAGGGAGAGAGCGGAGATGCTATGGCGTGAGGAGAAGGAGCAGCAGAAGCAGCAGGCAGCACCTTCGGAGGCGCATGAGGGGGAGATGATGACTTCTGGTGCTGCTGCTGATTTTGAGTCGACTCAAAAGGAGGAGCAGCATAAGCGACGACAGGCAGCACCTTTAGAGGCACATGAGGAGGAGATGAGGACTTCTGGTGCTGCCGCTGCTGACCGTCTCGCCTCACAAGAAGACGAAGGGAGGCTAGACTTCCCAGGGCACAGGGAGAGGGCGGAGATTCTGGGGCGGGGAGGGGAGCAGCAGCGGGGGCAGCAGGTAGTACGAGCTGAGGCGTATCAGGGGGAGGTGGCATCTGGTGGCGGCCTTGACCATGCGGCCACCCGTGAAGATGAGAACAGGGCTGCTTTTCCAGGGCACCGGGAGAGAGCAGAGATGCTGGAACGTGAGGAGGAGGAGCAGCAGAAGCGACAAGCAACACATGCTCAAGTGTCCAAAGAGGAGGCCTATGGTGCTGTGCTCAGCCGTGTGGCATCCCGTGCAGAGGAAAGTAGGGCAGCAGAGGCTGGACACATGGGCTTCTCGGGGCACAGGGAGAGAGCGGAGATGGTAGGGCGTGAGGAGAAGGAGCAGGAGGAGGAGCAACACGCAGTGCTGTCGGTACCAGAGTCTACTTTCGATGTGCCTCAAGAGGTACCAGGGGAGCAGGGCTCTGGTGCTGCGCTCGATCATGTGGCATCGCATGAAGGGGGAAGGGGAGAAGGAGCAGGGTTTCGTGGAGAGAACAGCGACGGATTTCACGCGCATGGCCATGCCCGTGCTTCGCATGTGTCGCATGCGCATGTGCAAGTGGCATCCCAGGAAGGTGAAACGAGGGCGGCCGTTTTGAAACGTCTACACGAGCACACCCACGCTTCGCATGCATCTCATGTGCTGTCCTCTGAGGGCGAAGAGAGGGCAGCGTCATTCGAACACCTCCATGCCCACGTGGAGAGGGATTCGCACGCGCATGCAAATGCACATGCGTATGCGCCGCACGTGGCGGCGTCTCATGATGGCCCAGAGAGAGCAGCCTTTTCGTCGGGGCATCTCCACGCTCGCGTGGAGAGGAATTCACATGCGCATGCGTCCCACGTGCCAGTGGCGTTGCATGAAGGTACGGAGAGATCAGCCTTTTCTTCCGGTCATCTCCACGCCCACGCGCCATCTGATGAAGGCCACGCACTGCTGGAAGCAGGGCAGAGAGAGAAGGCGGAGGCGGAGACTGTGGGGCATGCACATCGCCCTTCTCACCACCTGCCCACTTTTGAGTCGACTCAAAAGTCAGCACATCGCTCCGCTCACCACCTGCCCACGCACGCCCCTGTGTCTCATGCGCATGTGGTGCCTCACCCGTCGCACGTGCATGTGTCGTCCCATCACAGTTACACACTGCTGCCGTCTCGGCACAGAGAGAGGGCGGAGGAGGAGGCAGTGGGGCACAGGAGACGGCGGAAACAAGAGCATGTCACTTCTGAGGAGGCCGCTTCTGAAGCAGTTCAGGCGCCCTCTGCTGCTGCGCTCGCCCATCCAGCTTCCCTTGCAGATGAACAGGAGGATGGTTCGTTGAGACACAGAGAGAGGATGGAGTTGGTGGGGCACGAGAGAAATCAAAGACTTTCTGCTCCTCCCCTCGCCTACCTAGCTTCTGTTAGCAACGAGAAGGAAGGGGGTTTGCCCAGACACAGAGAGAGGATGGGCCTGGTAGGGCATGGGGGGAAGCGGAGGAAGCAGCAGAAGGGGATGCAGCTAGAGGGGATGAGGCTAGAAGGATCGAGACCAGGGGACATGCGGCAGGGGAGGATGGTGAGGGGCGGGGTGGGAGGGGGGATGAGGCGGACAGGGGGCAAGTGGATCAACCACAGCATGGGGAATGAACTGCTGGGACCCCTGGGGCGAGGGGGCAGCAGCAGGTATCGCAGCAGGCAGCGCAGCAGGCAACGTGGTAGGCAACGCGGCAGGCAACGCGGCAGACGAGGCAGGGGAGGAGAGAGGGTGTTGCGCAGAGACGGACTGACTGAGGAAGAAAATGAAGCGATCCCTCACGTAGTTGAGAATCAAGAAGAGGAGGAGACTGCTCCGAGTCAAGAGCAGGTAGAGACTGGCCGGCGGCGCCTGGAAAGCATAGCAACTTTTGGCTCGGCTCATGACGTGTCAAGGTCCGAAAAGAGCTTGGCAGTTGTAAGAGCAGCACTAGCCGCAGGCAGAGCCCGCAAGCCACAACCAATCAGAAAATCCCCACCCAAGTCACCAGCACCACCACCAGCACGCCCCCCCCCTCCGCCTCCTCCTGCTCCTGTGACAATACAGAGCTTTCAACAGCAGCGGTCCGCCTCGCAGTGCCTCAGCTTCTGTGGGACGAGCTTCAGCCCACTTGGGGCCGGTGTAAGCTCACACTCCCGCAGTGGGGCTAGCAATGGTGGTAACAGTGGGGTTGTCAACTCCCAGTGCGGGAATGGTGCTGGGACGTGCCTGGCTACTGTCACGTACCCTCCTCCTTCTCCTGCGGCCGCTGTGGGAGGGGCTGGAGCGGGGAAAAGGGCGGGGGCGGGGGGGAAGCAGCAGCAGCAGGGGCAGCAGGCGCAGGCGCAGGTGGTGTTTGGGTGCACGTGCCCTTCCTCGCGATACGTGCTGTCTGCTGATCGCATGACATGCACTTTGAAAGGTAATGGGGGAAATGAGGTGCTGTGTGTGTGTGCTGCACTGCACTCTGGCATCTTACCATTGCAAGCTATGCGATATGCTCTATGTACCTGCTCTTCTCTTCCTCGAGATATGTGCTGTCTGCTGATCGCATGACATGCACCCTGAAAGGTGACGGGGGAAATGAGATGTTGTATGTGCTGCAATATGCTCTGGAAACCTTCCCCTCGTCATGATGCGTGCTGTTTGGATCGCATGACATGCACTCTGAAAGGTGAGGGGATGATGAAGTATGGGGTCCCATGCATGGATTGCTGCTCCTTTTTAGGGTATGTGCTGTCTGCTAATCGCATGACGTGCACTCTGGAAGGTAATGCTGGGGTATGTGTTCAAACATGTACTGGGATGAGTGCGGTGTTGTGTGTGCTGTGCTCCGGTGCTGGTGCTGCTCTTTCTTGTACTGCTGCTTGTGGTGTTGACGCCGTGCATTAACACTCTCTCTCTTCCTTGTCCCATCTTCCCATCTTCCCACATGCCTCCCCATCATCCCTGTCCCTGCCTGTTTCTGTGCATGACCAACAGCAAGCCCACCGCCACCCCCCCAGCCACCTTCGCCACCCTCCCCTCCTTCTCCTCCACCATCCCCACCCTTCCCTCCTCCTTCCCCACCCTCCCCACCCTCCCCACCCTCCCCACCCTCCTCACCTTCCCCTCATCCCCCAACCCTCCCCCCTCCAACGCCTCCGACTCCTTCCCCTCCACCTTTCCCCCCTCTCTCTCCACCTCCTTTCTCTCCTCCTCCTCTCTCACCCCCCCCACCATCCCCGCCCTCCCTCCCCTCCACCACACCCAACCACCCTTTAACTCCTCCATCTCATACCTCCCACTCACCTCCCCCTCCCCCCTCCCTTTCCGGAGCAACAACTGAATCAACTCCTCCCTTCCCCCTCCCTCCCTTCCCCGCATCTCCTCCCCTCTCTGCCCCACCTCCCCTCTCTGCCTCATCTCCCCTCTCCTCTCCCCTGTCACCGTCTCTATCACTCCCACCCTCCCCTCCCAACACTCCCAATGCACCACCCGCCCTCGCACCTATCTCATCCCCCTCCGTTACCCCTAACTCGCCACCCTCCCTCGCTCCTATCTCACCACAATCCCCTCCTTCTCCTCCTCTCCCTCCTCCCTCCCCCCTGAAGCAGCCACTCCTCCTCTCTTCCCCCCTCCCTCCCCCCCATCACCCCCTCTTTCTGCCTCACTCTCTCAGTCTCCTCCCATCCCCCCATCACTATCACCCCTACCTTCCCCCACCAACGCCCCAGACACACCACACTCCCTTCCTCCTCTCTCTCCCCCGTCACCTCCTGAATCAACAACGCCTCCAACTCCCCCACCTCCCTTCCCCCCATCACCTCCCCTTTCTGACTCACCTCCCCTGTTCCCTCCCCCACCACGCTCACCATCACCATCACCCCCACCCCCACCTCCACCCCACCTTCCCAACTCTCCCGATACACCACCCTCTCTTCCTCCTCTCCCTCCCCCCTCCCCTCCTGAAGCAACTCCTGCGATTCCCTCCCCCACCTCCTCCCCATCACCCCCTCTTTCTACCTCGTTTTTCATGTCCCCTCTCACCGAATCACCTCCTCCCTATCCTCCTCCCTCCCCACCCGATTCCCCACCCTCCCCCCCTCCTTTTCCTCCTCCCTCCCCACCTGATCCCCCACCCTCCCCACCTCCCCTTCCTCCCCCCTCCCCACCCGATTCACCACCCTCCCCCCCTCCCCTTCCTCCTCCATCCCCTCCCCAACCACCACCCTCTCCTCCTCCTTTGCCACCTCCCTCCCCTCCCCAACCACCACCCTCCCCTCCTCCTTTCCCTCCTCCCTCCCCTCCCCAACCACCACCCTCCCCTCCTCCTTCCCTCCTCCCTCCCCTCCCCAACCACCACCCTCTCCGCCTCCCCCTCCTCCCTCCTCGCCTCCCCCTCCTCCCTCCCCGCCTCCTCCTCTTGCTACACCTGTAATGCTCACACGATGGGAATGCTTCTACCAAAACCGAGATACTGGGTGTTCCTGTAGTTGCACAAATGGAAATCAATGTTACTGTACAGTTTGAATAAAGCATGATGCATATACAAGTTGCAGCAAGCAAGCAAGCTTTCACATTTTACCATAGCGTGTTGTAATAGTAAATCATGTGATGAAAGAATGCTACTAACGGAAAGTAAACATAGGATATGGAAATGGGAATTACGATACCGTTAGTACAATTTTCTTGCCAGTCCACTAGATTAGGCCTTCTAATTCATCAACATTAGGTTCTAACATTTTCATCCACAAAATTTGGGAGATTTTAGAATTCCAGCTCCGCCATGTACATATACACAAGCGTAGATACTCATCGAACCGACCAACACAGTATTTTCTCTATAAAAATACAGTGACTATCATATATTTTCTCATTTCCTTCAAATTATACCATTCTCCCCACCCTCCGACCATGTTTTAACCTAACGGATCTATGTAATTCGGAAGATATAGACAATCCAGTCGTACATAGTACATGCGCTACAGGCGTGCATATCAAACTGACCAGCGCATTACTTATGTTTGTAGAGATGCAGTTAGTATCATATTAATACCAGTCCACTAGATTATATCTTCTACTTCAACAACAGTATGTTATAACCTTTCCGATACACAAAAATTGGGAGATTTCAAAAATTTAGTTCCGCCTTGTACATACACAAGCGTGCATACTGAGCGAACCGACCGACACATTATTCTCTCTGTAAAAATCCAATGAATATCATATGTATACTTTCATTTCCTTTAAATTAGACCGTTCCCCACCCCCCGACCATGTTTTAATTTATCAGTTCTATATAATTTGGCAGATATTGCCAATTCAGTTGTACATGGTACCTGCACTACAGGCGCGCATACCGACCAAACTGACCAGCGCATTACTTATGTTTGTAGAGATGCAGTTAGTACCATATTCTTACCAGTCCACTAGATTAGGCCTTCTACTTCAACAACACCAGATTATTACATTTTCGATCCACATAATTTGGGAAATTTCAGAGTTCCAGTTCCGCCTCGTACCTACACACAAGCGTGCATATTGACCGAACCGACCGACGCATGATTCTCTCTGTACAAATACAATGAATACAATATGTATTCACATTTCCTTTGTATTATACATTTCCCCACCCCCCGACCGTGTTTTAACCTATCGGATCTATGTAATTTGGCAGATATAGACATTCCAGTCGTACATGGTACATGCACATAGGCGCGCATACCGACCAATTTGACCAGCGCATTAATTATATTTGTAGAGATGCAGTTAGTACCATATTGTTACAAGTCCACTAAATAAGGCCTTCTACTTCAACAACACTAGCTTATAACCTTTCTGATCCACCAATTTTGGGAGATTTTAGAGTTTCAATTTCGCCTTGTACCTACACACAAGTATGCATACTGACCGAACCGACCGGCGCATGATTCTCTCTGTACAAATACAATGAATACAATATGTATTTGTATTTCCTTTAAATTTCAACCATTCCTCACCCCCCGACCATGTTTTAACCTATCGGATCTATGTAATTTGGCAGATATAGACAATCCAGTCGTACATGGTACCTGCACTACAGACGCACATACCGACCAAACTGACCAGCGCATTACTTATATTTGCAGAGATGCAGTTAGTACCATATTCTTACCAGTCCACTAGATTAGGCCTTCTAATTCAACAATACTTAATTATAACCTTTCAGATTCACATAATTTGGGAGATTCCAAAGTTCCAGTCCCGCCTTGTACCTACACACAAGCGTGCATACTGACCGAACCGACCCGACGCATTATTCTCTCTGTATAAATACAATAAATACCATATGTTTCCCATTTCCTTTAAATTATACCATTCCCAGCCACCCCACTATGTTTTAACCTATCGGATTTATGTAATTTGACATATATAGACATTCTAGTCGTTCATGGTACATGCACTACAGACGCGCATACCGACCAAACTGACCAGCGCATTACTTATGTCTGAAGAGATCCAGTTAGTACCATATTTTTACCAGTCCAGTAGATAAGGCCTTCTACTTCAACAACACTAGCTTATAACCTTTTCGTTCCATCGATTTTGGGAGATTTCAGAGTTCCAGTTCCGCCTTGTACCTACACACAAGTGTGCATTCTGACCGAACCGACCGACGCATTATTCTCTCTGTACAAATACAACGAATACAATATGTATTCCCATTTCCTTTGTATTATACATTTTCCCACCCCCCGACCATGTTTTAACCTATCGGATCTATGTAATTTGGCAGATATAGACATTCCAGTCGTACATGGTACATGCACTATAGGCGCGCATACCGACCAAACTGACCAGCGCATTACTTATATTTGTAGAGATGCAGTTAGTACCATATTCTTACCAGTCCACTATATTAGGTCTTCTACTTCAACAACACTAGCTGATAACATTTCCGATCCACATAATTTGGGAGATTTCAAAGTTCCAGTTCCGCCTTGTACCTACACACAAGCGTGCATACTGACCGAACCGACCGTCGCATGATTCTCTCTGTACAAATACAATGAATACAATATGTATTCGTATTTCCTTTCAATTAGACCATTCCTTGCCCCCTGACCATGTTATAATCTATCGGAACTATGTAATTTGGTAGATATAGACAATCGAGTCGTACATGGTACCTGCACTACAGACGCACATACCGACCAAACTGACCAGCGCATTACTTATGTTTGTAGAGATGCAGTTAGTACCATATTCTTACCAGTCCACTAGATTAGGCCTTCTAATTCAACAATACTTACTTATAACCTTTCAGATCCACATAATGTGGGAGATTCCAAAGTTCCAGTCCCGCCTTGTACCTAAACACAAGCTTGCATACCGACCGAACCGACCGACGCATTATTCTCTCTGTACAAATACAATAAATACCATATGTATTCCCATTTTCTTTAAATTATACCATTCCCAACCACCCCACTATGTTTTAACCTATCGGATCTATGTAATTTGGCAGATATAAACATTCTAGTCGTTTATGGTACATGCACTAAAGACGCGCATACCGACCAAACTGACGAGCGCATTACTTGTGTTTGTAGAGATGCAATTAGTACCATATTTTTACCAGTCCACTAGATAAGGCATTCTACTTCAACAACACTAGCTTATAACCTTTCCGATCCACCGATTTTGGGAGATTTCAGAGTTCCAGTTCCGCCTTGTACCTACACACAAGTATGCATACTGACCAAACCGACCGACGCATGATTCTCTCTGTACAAATACAATGAATACAATATGTATTCCCATTTCCTTTGTATTATACATTTTCCCACCCCCCGACCATGTTTTAATCTATTGGATTTATGTAATTTGGCAGATATAGCATTCCAGTCGTACATGGTACATGCACTATAGGCGCGCATATTGACCAAACTGACCAGCGCATTACTTATATTTATAGAGATGCAGTTAGTACCATATTCTTACCAGTCCACTAGATTAGGTCTTTTACTTCAACAACACTAGCTTATAACATTTCCAATCCACATAATTTGGGAGATTTCAAAGTTCCAGTTCCGCCTTGTACCTACACACAAGCGTGCATACTGACCGAACCGACCGTCGCATGATTCTCTCTGTACAAATACAATGAATACAATATGTATTTGTATTTCCTTTCAATTAGACCATTCCTTACCCCCCGACCATGTTATAACTTATCGGATCTATGTAATTTGGCAGATATAGACAATCCAGTCGTACATGGTACCTGCACTACAGACGCACATACCGACCAAACTGACCAGCGCATTACTTATGTTTGTAGAGATGCAGTTAGTACCATATTCTTACCAGTCCACTAGATTAGGCCTTCTAATTCAACAATACTTAATTATAACCTTTCAGATCCACATAATGTGGGAGATTCCAAAGTTCCAGTCCTGCCTTGTACCTACGCACAAGCTTGCATACCGACCGAACCGACCGACGCATTATTCTCTCTGTACAAATACAATAAATACCATATGTATTCCCATTTTATTTAAATTATACCATTCCCAACCACCCCACTATGTTTTAACCTATCGGATCTATGTAATTTGGCAGATATAAATATTCTAGTCGTTCATGGTACATGCACTAAAGACGCGCATACCGACCAAACTGACGAGCGCATTACTTATGTTTGTAGAGACAGTTGGTACCATATTTTTACCAGTCCATTAGATAAGGCCTTCTACTTCAACAACACTAGCTTATAACATTTCCGATCCTCCAATTTTGGGAGATTTGAGAGTTCCAATTCCGCCTTGTACCTACACACAAGTGTGCATTCTGACCGAACCGACCGACGCATTATTCTCTCTGTACAAATACAATGAATACAATATGTAGTCCCATTTCCTTTGTATAATACATTTCCCCACCCCCCAACCATGTTTTAACCTCTCGGATCTGTATAATTTGACAGATATAGCATTCCAGTCGTACATGGTACATGCACTATAGGCGCGCATACCGACCAAACTGACCAGCGCATTACTTATATTTGAAGAGATGCAGTTAGTACCACATTCTTTCTAGTCCACTAGATTAGTCCTTCTAATTCAACTATACTTACTTATAACCTTTCCGATCCACATAATTTGGGAGATTTCAAAGTTTCAGCCAGTCCCGCCTTGTACCTACACACAAGCGTGTATAATGACCGAACAGACCGATGCATTATTCTCTCAGTACAAATACAATTAATACCATTCCCCACCCCCCCACTATAATTTAACCTATCATATCTATGTAATTTGGCAGATCTTACATGCGCAGGGAAAAGCGTTCAACAACCTGAATGTTGTTGCATATTCGAGTGGCCCATGTTCAATTACACATATTAGAGCCTTTTCGGCATGTTTCTTGTGCAAGGAAAAGTTCGGCGCCTACGATTTCGGCCGTTTTGGCCGACACGTGCCTAGAAGGCGCATGAATCCCTACGGGTGTA